TCACTATGTGGAACTTGTAATTTCAGGCTGATAGTGCAACTGCTGCTCTGAACTGTAGTGGTGTGGTTTTAGGATCCTTGCCAATAAGGTACGCTTTATATGATATTTTCATTCATTTTTTATACGCTGTGCATCATTTAATTTCCTTGAATATTTATTCGTAAATACAATGTTGTTCCTTTCTGTACTTTTAGGGTAAGCCCCTCGAAGACTCCTGTGCGTCCACGAGCACTTCGCGTGACCATGTATTAAGTCTTGAAGGTCCATGTGGTGACTTTTGACAGTATATACACACAACTACACAGGGATATTTAAGGTTTAGCTTTTGCTTTGTAAGTTCCATGTAGTTTTTACTCTTCCTACTTAAAAGAAAATTTAGCATCAACGCTGCTGGTTAGAACTTAGGCTGACATTTTTCCGTGATTATCTAGTGTTTTTGTCGAAGTAAACATGCATGTGTTTGGAGATCTCGATTAAACTTCAAATTGTATCTAATTTGAAGTATGAAGTGTCTTTTTTTGTTGTTATCAGTTAGATAAAGGCTTCCTTCATGCTCGCCTATCAGCTTCCACTAAGCAGTTGGAGGTCTAAAATCTTCCTCCTGCCAAAGCCAAATTTTATTTTACTTCGTTAGTTCATATGATGCGTGGTTGCACAGAATGCCTTGCGATAATTGACCTGACTGGTTTTGGCCATCTGTTCTCGGATCATACCGTTTGTGATGATTTCCATCATATGCTAGCTCTGAGTTTTATGATCAAATTAATTTCTACTGTTAAATGAGATGACAAGATGAATATATATTTTGTCAGATGATGGAACTCGATTCTAAGGCCTTTGTTTGCTGATGGTAAAAACAATTAGATTTGTATTATCGGATGGTGTGTTGAACTCTCAATCTATTGTCAATGTTTTAGGGGTATCTGATTCTAGTAGTTATTAGTTACCAATTGTTTAACGATTAGGTTCGTATCACAAGTATTCAGGTACAACAACAGCGAAGTGCAGTGGGTCGTGAGTTGCAGTGATCTTAATAAGATAACATAGTACAAGCATCTGGGTTATGTAGATGACAAGATAGCTAATTTGGTTGCATGGTCAGGGGAGCTTGACACTGCTAAATCCCACTCTACCATGCTGCATACTATCCACCGCCACGCCACGGCCAAGCCCACTACATCGGCGTCCCCGCGAAGAAGGCCAGAGCTCCCACCATCGGTGCATTGATATAAGTCGCCGGCTCCGATTGCTGGTAATTGTTCCTGTCGTCCGCGAAGTGGTCCTGGCTGTCCGGGCCGCCGAGGACGGCGCCGACGAGGACGTTCGGGTTCGGCGACCCCGAATACAGGTACTGGAACCCCTCGCTGCAGGCGATGCGGCCCGGGTGGGCGCGCACCGACGGCAGCGACGAGCCGCGGTGGTGGACGTGCTGCGGGTATCTGCTCCCGAACCCCACCATGTACGACATCTTCGCCGGGTTGTTTCCCAGTATGTAATCGACCTGCCATTTCGAAGTTCAGTACGTCAGCAAGCTGCATGGTTGCCGAAGCTTACATTTCTTGCTTCCAACTTCTGATCCTTGTTAAACGCACCTGTTTCTTGGCTACGGAGACGAGGTCGGCGGCGGCCACCTTCGACGTGCCGCATAAGACCGATCCCCCGTTAGAGTCGAGGTACTTGGCGTAGGTCAGAAGAAGGAAGGCGGTGGATGTCACGTACTGCAGGTTGCTCCCGCTTTCCTTGTAGAGGAGCCCCCCTAATCACAAGAACGTGATGTGGTTAGTCTTGGCCTCGAGGACACGGCTTTGGAAGACGGGTGATGAGCAGCACCAACCTGGTGTGTACTGGGCTTGGAAGCTGCTCGTTCCTGGCACCAGTGAGCAGATGTAGTTGTCCGAATGCGCTTTGTACAACTGCAGCACTTCAATCCCGTTCTGCAAGAATCCCTGCGCAGATACCCAGACGGAGAACTCAAGTCTCTTTACGCTGAGCTAGCAAGAAGGGAAGCTCTCCGAGGAAGACTTCATCGTCACTACCTTGGAAAGAAGAATTTTGGTGCCCACGCGCTTGTCGTCCCAGCTGAAGGAGTAGTCATCATCTTCTGCTCCCAGAGTGTGGCCGTTGGACTCGATGTACGACATGAAGGAGACGTCCTGCGACGCCTGGTGAAGCCAGGAAGCTCCCCATAGAAGTTCGTCCTGGTTGCACATCAAGTTTTAGTCAGCAGTTGCTGCAGAAGTCAATCGAGGCCAAGTTCGTAGCTTGCAGCAGATCAAGCCTCTTACGTTATAACCAGAGTAGGAGCAGTAAAATGGGCACGCCACCGAGCTCAGTGAATCGCTGTATGACCCTCTGTACCGGTTAGCGAAATCGAAAACCTGCAGCGCGGGAATCGTTCACCGTCAGATGGAATCATGGAACTAAAAGGCAGATCGGAATCCGCCATGTCCTCGTACGCTTACTTGGGTGGCAGTGTGGAGTAACTTGGAAGAGTAAGCTGGGTCGGAATCCTTGAAGACAATGGAAGCCGCCGCCAGCGCGGCGGCGGTCTCGGCCGCGACGTCGGAGCCGGGGTTTTGGCTCGTCACCTTGTAAACGTTGCGGGGGGTGTCCATGTCTTCCGGTCTCTCCCAGCATCGGTGATCCTGGTTCGGGTCCGCCACCTGCAATGCACGGGAAAAGGAGTAAGACGCGGTGCTGCCGCAGCAACCCATGCCGCGACGTCTTCGTCGATCACCTGAACGTATAAAGCGTCGGGGGCGGCGGTGGCGGCCTTGAGGAGGTAGTCCGTGCCCCAGCGGAGCGCGGCCTTGGCGTTTCCGAGCTCACCATGCATCAGCCCGCCGAACTCGATGATGCTCCACGCCAGCATCGTCGTCGTGAAGGCCATCGGGAGGCCGAACTTGACGTTGTCCCCGGCGTCGTAGTAGCCGCCGACCAGATCCACCTGCAACGCACGCCCATGCAAAGCCTTCGTAAGCACGGTAACGACAGGAACTCAAATGTGCTGTCAGAGGTGCAGACATTGCAAGAGGAGCCGTCAGAGAGGCCGGAGTCGCCACGCCATGTGACGCGCTGGTTAGCGGGGAGCTTCCCGGAGCGCTGGCCCTCAAAGAAGAGGATGGACTTGGCGAGAGCGTCGGCATAGTTGAAGGCGGAGGCCGGAGAAGGGGAATGGAGCAAGCTGAGGCTCATCAGCGACAAGAACAGGAAGCCTTTGGCGGCCATTCTGCTTACGCTGAGTTGAGAGATGGTGGGGAGAGCATGGTGGCTACTGGGAGAAGCTTTATAGGGGAACGAGGAGGTGGGTCTCCGGCAGTTGTTCGTTGGAGGTAACAGAAAGACGGCGTCGGCATGGGGGAGGCGTTCATGGTCACGGGATTAGCTGCGTGAAACCGGAACACGGATTGACACGTTGAGAACGACGACACGACTCAAACCCAATTCGACGAATTAAGTAAGACTAATACCCACGTTTAAGGTAAGAAACTGGAAGAGAAAAGGACGGGTTAAGCCAAGTCGTCTTCCTCAGCGGACAACGCCCACATAAGATGGCGGTAACGAGGGCCGTCGAACGCCGTAATTTGAGGCTATCACGGCCATGATATGGCACACATTTCATCTCACTCTTTCTCCCCCTTCGCCCTTCCTTGTCCTCTACTTCCTCATACTTCCTTGTCCGGTAGTAGTAAGTCACGGACGAATAAAGGGGGTGAAATCACATGCGAAAGATAAGGAAAGAAGAAAGAGCTCAGGCAATAGAGGAGCTCATGAACAGTGGCAAAGGAGAGGCTGCTGTGTATGTATGCGTAGTGCTGCAGCATAGGATTCCATGTGCTTTCGGGGGGTGTCACAGGCGAGGGAGACGCAGAGGTCCCAAGGAATGCTTCCGTGCCCGTGACATGTCGCCGCTCGGGTTGTGACTTTGGAGGGGCGGCTTAATGGAGCGGCACGGTGGGGTGCGAGCGTCACGAGCCACCGGGTGGCTCGTAATGTGGTTTGGGTTTGTCATGGCCTCCTCAATGGTAAATTGCTTGCATTGAGTTATAGATACTGATGAGGATAGTAATTACGATAAGACTCGATGCCTCACGCCTCACGCCTCGATCGGTGCGACTGAACTCGGTCAATCGAACCGGAACATCGACCGAGGCGCATTAATGCCTACTCAGGCGCGGTTCTTCACGGCACGCCAGCGCCCATGTCAGACGCTATCAGCCTGCCTCCTGCAAGTGGGCACATCAAACAGCAGTAAGCTTCACTATAAATACCCTCTCGTTCATTAGAGAATGGGGGGTCACACATACAAACACTTCTTTTTCTGAAATCCCTTCCACATCTTCTGCTAATTTGATCGTCGGAGGGGTTGGGTCGAGCCTCCCGACCCGACCTTTGTGCAGGTGCGAAGCCGAGGGTCCCCGCCGACCGCGCGAACGACGAGCCCTTGCCCGGAGGAGACGACGACCCCGTCCCGATCGGACCATCGCACCGGACCGACCCCGCGGGCTCGAGGCACGCCCCGGAGAGACCCCCGACGTCCGGACCCGAACCGAGCCGCGTCGGAAGCAAAATGTTGGGTCCGTTGACACTCTAAACTATCTGATCGACCGATTCGAGGCTCCACTTATTAGGTTGGGATTGAGTTGAGCAAGCAAAATATTTGGGTTGGAGGCCATAAAGGTTTTGTTGTTCTCGTTGACAGGAACGGCAGATAGACAGATCGAAGAGTTAGATTTGGAGTCCGAGATTTCCGGTGTCTTTGAGTGTTGCTGCGTGAGCAGGTTGTGGCCCGTGACATGTGGAACGAAGAAAATTTTGTTGATTCTCTAAATTGTTCTTTTTGGTATCAAAGTCTTCTAAAAGGGAAAAAATCTAATTGTACTCTCAACTGCTATATCTTTTTCTTGCTGTTCAACTTTGTGTAGAATAATAACCCTAACAAAATCAAGAACATGTAATTAGTATGCATCATGCTCAACTAGAAAACAAGGACAGTGGAATTGGCATACAGCAGGCAGCATGATTTGAGAGTTGAAACCGGTGATTTCGATACCAAACTCACCGAAACACAGCGAAAAACCAATCTTCTTGGATGTATACATTACCGTGAGGTATGCGTCCGATAGCAATTATGACAGACAGCCATCGATGATTAGTTAAAATGGCTGCACCTTGTACAAAAATGGAAGAACACCAAAACAACATTGCGAAGTGCATGAATAAAATTTTTAAGACTTCTTTTGCATCCAACTCGAATTGAATGTTGTGATTTCTTCAGCATCGTTATCTTGGAGGAAGCAAAATGGCTGCTTGAAAAGCAACAAACATGTCTAGCTAGTCAAAAATCTCTGCAGGTTTTGTGGTCTCCGATTTCTTCTGATTTTCCAATGCCGTGACACGCTTGTTAAGAGATTCAAATCGTTCATCAAAATCTTCATAAACACCTTTAGCCTGGAGAAGCAAGTAACTATGAGTCACTATTACTAAAACAATTTATAAAACCATCTAAATAACAGGCAACATTAAAGTAAAATAATATAGATTGAGGGCGACTGCAATAAATAGATAAGCAAAAAGTAGCAGAACCTACAAAAGAAAACATGGTAAGAATTTGTTTCTAGCATATCACTGTGCACCTTTTTACGTCTGAACCTCCAAGCAAATTTGACATCACAAAAGCCATCTTTGACATATCAATTTCAAACTTCAGGTCTGTCACCAACTTGATCGATCAAAAAATATGGCCATAGTTAAGAATATGAACTAAGAGCCTTGGAAGCAGGATTTTGTAGTTTGGATTTAGGCCAAGTATGACTATCAGCTCATGTAAAGTAACAAGAAGAAACAAAAATGTGATACGGTCAACTACGAAAAACAGAAATTATTTTAACTGAAATGAAGTTAGACAGGGGCATCATAAAAGTATTTCTGCAAAATTGACCTCTCGCTACTGGTCATTGAGATTGGCCTTATTTGTGCTTTCTCATTTATTTTTCCTGAAGTAGTTTTTACATGGGCATGGTGTTGGACTTGTAAATACATTTTCGATGAAAGTTCTAACTGTTTTGTCAATGATTCCTACTTCCTTATAACGTCATAGGTCATAATAGCATTGAACCTTTGTGCATGTTACATATATGCAGGGTTCAACCATTATAGAAAGATGGTTTTGTAAATTAGAAAAAAAAACTTAGAAACAACCTCCAATGAAGGCCTATACCCACGAAGCTGTCCATGCAAACTCGACAAGTACCTTATATCTTTGTAATCTCCAACAAAACATGATTATTTTATGAGCAAAAATACTTAATACCTTTGTTGTTGATCACTTCCAAAACATAGTATCTTGGCATGTAACTATGAGTTCCTTTAGGCAACAACGGAAGCATGTGACTTTACTAGTGACCTTTTGGCGGACATATGCTTGTCCATAACAATCATTATTCCACTATGGCTGCTGATCGCTTGGAACCAAACCCATACAGTTTATGTCAAATGATGCCATCTTCTTTATCCTTGTATAATTGTATCCAACTCTCATTCAGCTCATCTTGGGAGCTCCAATTATTTGTCATTAAGGATCTGAACCATTTTATTTTTTCCTCAAACTAAGAAAATATGCGAAGCATAGGTTCCTCAAGATACTTGCCATATCAGTGTCATGTCAACATCGAAACTTCTCAAATACTTTTCAACACATATTGGGTTGCTCAAGACATATAACTCTTGTACCATCCATACTTATGCTCATGTCTTATACTTGGACTTTTGACTCATTCCTCAGTGTTATTTATTTTTGTTTGATGCACTTTTGTGAATTTTCTTCTTAGAGAATGGTTTGTTATTCTTATATTAGATTGTCTGTATTGCATAAAGTATAAAATAAAATAAAAAAAGACAGTATAAATGTATTTAGATCATGGAATAATTTTTTCAGATGAGCTATAAGGAAATCTCATTTTGTTTCCATTCATCCAATCCGATACGGTCGACTAGAAGGTCAAGATAACTTTTCTCATTATCAACTTTTTGTATATGAAACAATAATGTAAATACTAAAAAATAAACTTCTTTGACAGAAAATATATCCTTCTCTGACCTGCTATACTAGACAGTTTACTAATCAAGCACAAAATGTAACAGTAAACAAACCCAATACATTCAAGCAAGAATAAGAGAGAATGCACCCCTTTGATTTGAGGATGTCTCTAAGAAAACAAGAAAGAAAAGGAGACAAGAGATTTTCCAATTTTGGAAACTTATGTCTGACAGATGAACAAGTAACTAAAATAGAACTGATATCAAAGTAGAATAATCATGAATAATAACTTGGATAGTACTTAATGGATTTAGAGACAGTGCTTAGAAAAAGAAACAAAGATAACCATGGAAAGCTCAAAGGGCTTAATTTTCCGTAAAGAACTACAGAAATTTATTGAACTTATTTCACATAGGATGAAAAAACTGTTTTTTGTTACTAAATACGATTATCTTTTGGCCATAAATATCATTCAGAGGAAATTCAGCAATTAAAGCATCAAAGCAGAAAGATCTCATATCAGAATAGACAAGCTCGATCGTTGACTATCTCTATGTCACAGCTTATATCAGACATTAAGGAACTCTCCAAACAAATTTCTCTATGTAATTATCTCAAGAAGACATGAAAGAACCAGAGCACAAAAGTGCATTACCACGAACACAATCACACATCCATTTTGTATCAGACTAGGGATTTTTTGAAACAAATTTCTCTATGTAATTATCTCAGGAAGACATGAAAGGACCAGAGCATAAAAGATGCATAACCAAGAACACAATCACACTCATTTTATATCAGATGAAAAGGGATCTCTCCAAACAAATTTCTCTAATGTAATCATCTCAAGAAGACATGAAAGAACCAATCACGAACACAATCACATTAAAGTACAATGGACTCGATTCACCAAGCACCAATCTCTTATATAAAGTAGAAATCTTGTCAAAGTGATTCGACATCTCCACAGTACAGGATTTCACGTCCCAAACATTTAGGCCTTTGCGAATGGATTCCCCTTTACATTAACCTCCTCTAGGCTTTCTAATTATATCCTGCTATCGGTCCAATTTCCCTATGTGAATCGATCGATCGATCGATCAACAAGCCATGGGATCGAAGAAAATTGTGCATCGTTCATAGAAGGCTTAGTGGATGTAAAGAAAGATAGGATGGAGGACGAACCTGTTGGGCGATGGCGTCGTGGGCGAGCATGTAATCCTTGTAAAGGAGACAGAAGCCAGCAAGGGACGCCGCGGCGGCGCCCGCAAAGAAGGACGCCAACCTCACTCGGAAGAGGAACCCCATCGCTCTCTCTCTCTCTCTCTCTCTCTGTCTCTCTCTCTCACGCTGGCAGCTCAAGTGGGTCGGGTTTCTTGAACCGGTATTCTAAACCAAACCGCGGGTTCTGTGGATCTATATGGATATCGAGCCGCTATGGGCTGCGTGTCCTCTGCCGCCTCCTGTGACCTCCGACCTTTGGCCATCCTTCCCCATGGTACCTCTCTCTCTCTCTCTCTCTCTCTCCATGTCTTTATCCTCTGTTGCCGTCACTAGGGTTTTCTAGGGTTGCAAAGCCGTCGGCTTTTACTTGATTTATTTGTTCTGTAATATAGCAAATCGGATTTGCAATTTGTTAATTGTCTTCGCTCGTGTGATTGCTGTTGTTCTCCTGCAATTTTCATGCTTCCCATCTGAATTGTTGGAGCCTCTACTTAGTCATGATATCACACCATTGATTCAAAAATCAGAATCATGTGGATACGATGATCCAGACATGAGCATTCGAAGTAGAATAATCTGCAGGGATTTCTTGCCTGCCCAAACCCTCGTTTGATATCATGTAACAAAATCTTTCATCATTTATACATTTTTAGCGAACTTTAAACCATGTTATATTTGCAATCACTGTTTCTTTGTACTTTTTATCTCAAAACTGTAGTTTCTTGTTAGTGTCAAGATCACTGCCTTTGGACTTCCTAGAATTTCTTCTGTTACCTTTGTATTGTTGTGTGTATCGACGTTCATGTAGTTTGCTGTGTTCTTTTCTTTTTCTTTTTTGTTTTGTGCTCTAAATTTGCTTCTGAGTTGTATAATATTTTCAACTTCTACTATTTAGTTGTTGTTGTTACGACATCACCATTGTTTGTGGAGTAGGAAAACATTTAGAGTGACGTTTAATGTGATGGGAGAATTGGGTGTTAAGTAGGCCATAAGAGACAAAAAAAAGGCCAAAATAGAGAGAGAGAGAGAGAGAGAGAGAGAGAGAGAGAGAGAGAGAGAGAGGAGACTAGAAAATCTGATTCACATAAATTTTAAATCCTGTAATAGAAAAAACAAGTACTGCAAATTCAACGTTTACCAATTTGGTCAATGAGAAAAACCTTGAATCGTCCAATTGAATAGCTTGTGTTGTTGACAAGTCTTCATTGCAAGTTGGATTTAGATGGTTGCGCTTCAACAAGGATGTAGATGATCGACTTTTCAGGAGCGGTGAGGAAGGAGGAGTGATTGGTCTTGGATCCCACTCCAAGTCCTGTATCTCACATCAGGGAAAATGATCGACTTTTCAGGAGCGGTGAGGAAGGAGGAGTGATTGGTCTTGGATCCCACTCCAAGTCCTGTATCTCACATCAGGGAAAATTATGGGGTCGCACCACTCATACATTATAAGGAAACTAAATTCCTATTCATTCAAGAGTCGATCATCTACATCTGCTCAAGCTCGACCATTATGGAGTATATTTGCAACTTCAACTTCTCATTAACACATGCGAGTTGGACGATTTAAGGCTTTCCTCTTTGACCGAATTGGTAAGTTCTGAATTTACAACATCTATTTTTTCTATTGCAAGAATTAAATCTTTTGCGAATTGTGTTTTCTCGCTTCTCTATTTGTTTTGCCCCTTTGTTTATTATTACCTACACCCCTCCCAATTCTCCCATCACATTAGAAAATTCACTCTTTAGGTTTTCCAATGTCATATTTGGTACCAGAGCTGGATCCTACCAACATGTCCACAGGAAGTGGGTCTCTTTTGTCTTCTTTAAAGATCGTCTACTAAATATTTTTTTCTTCTTAGTGCTCGATGGTTTCCTTTTTCAGCCATATGATTCTTGTTCTCTTTTTCTTTATATACTTCTTTTTTTTCTTCATAATTAATCTAGGAAATATAATTGAAAATATTCTAGATGTCGTCATGTGGCAACTTATAGAATTTGTAAAAGACCCTTTAAACTAATAGAAATTTTACTTAAAAATAAAAAACAATGACGATGATCCCATATCACAGCCTTCATATGATAAGGCGGGTGCTAAGTGATACTTGATCAAGGAAGATTGAGATGTTCTCTGAAATCAAGAGCAGTGGCAGGTGTCCTGCCAATTGTGATCCAATAACACTACAGGATTAACCAAAAATCTCCATTAAGAACAAGAGTCCTAAACTGAAAACCCAATTTATTCTGGATGATTCCAACTTCAGCGATAATATCTAAAACGTATTGGATCATTAGATTTAGTCATATGCACATCGATTTGATGCTGTTGGTTATCTGATCCAATTAAGAATTGTACAATCAGAACAGTATAACTGGATTGGACTGATAAACTATCGGATTAGTATTAAACCGTATGCAGTTTAACTTTGTTCGTATTACATGGTGTCTGATTTGTTAGCTGGCCCTCTTTAGGGGATTGATATGTAGAACAAACTACATAGGGATTCAGAGACAAGATATCCCCATGCCATACATAATTCGTTGCAGAATAGCATATGCCTCTGATTGATATTCACAAATATGTATATATTCACAATTTGTGTGTAGGAACGACCGATGCTGTCGCTCCATGCATTGTATGTTGTTGTGGTTCGTCAAGTCTAATGCACATATAAGCATGAATAAATGAGCTTTCGATGCATAATGATGAATTTCCTGTTTGCTAGCCTTCTGTTGTAATTGGTGAATGTTTATCTGCAGATATTCTGATTCCACCAATCAAAATATCATAAGAATTTCCAAATGAAGAGAAATGCTTGCAAGGTGAAATTGGCAAAGAAATATAGGTTATTGCATCAGAAGGATATGACAGGTTAGAGATTTTGATGTGATACTTCTCTGTGTTTCTTGTTTTAAGCCGAGAATATTCGATTACATGATCCACTATCTAATAACTCTTATCCGTATCAGGGACTCAACTGTCAAGTTTGAAAGGAAGCATAACAGGCCTGAAAGGTATGATAGGAACATCACATAGATGGCAACGGAGGCTATAAAGAAAGTTGCCAAAATCATAGTTGCTAAGGAGGCTAGGCATGATTGGTATGTGCATGATTTGTCCCTCTTTCTTCTATCTGCAGCACATCTTCTGATATGCTATTTGCACATTTTACATGATGAAGGGTTAAAAATCTATTTTCTGGCAGACAGAAATTAAGGAGTTGGAGAAACAGTAGTGATTTGGACGAAGCACCTGCTGCCCTGCAACATGGTTCACAAATTACTCTTCCGAAGAGTAAAGTTAAGGTTTCTCAATCTCAGCTTGGAGGGGAGAGCATGGAAGGATAATGGTAATCTTGACAATTATTCATCTCTGATTTTAAAGAGCCATCTTAAGATTTGTTTTCTTTTGTGCTTGTCATGGTTGATGAATTTGCGGTTCCCTGAACAATCTGGCCACTAGAAATGAATACTTTGCTACGATTAGCTGAAATACATTGGTCAAAAACATTTTGTGTTTGGTTATGCTAACCAAAGGGTTCTTTGCTTTTTCTTTTTCTTTTTTATTGCATCTTATACAAGCAGAGAGCTTCTAATATGACTCGAGACTTCCAACTAGTAAACTCAAGAAATTGTGTAATCTTCATGTTAAACAGAAATGTAAGCCATAGTTCCTTCGGACAACATCAATTTGTGTTTTGTGGTTAGTTTTGATGAAGATAGCTAGAGATTCCTGCATGCTTTGGTGAGTCCTGCATGCTTATCTCTCAAATTTCTTTTTCTTTTACTTTTTTGATGAAGATAGCTACAGATTCCTGCATGCTTTGGTGACATGAAAACAACCAAGCATGAGCTTCCACAAAACTGAATTTATGTTTTAGATGCTTGATTGCTTTCTCGCTTTGGAAAAGAAAAAACATGTAGATGGTGATGAAAACATTGTAGTTGTTATATACACAATAGTCATCTCAAGATCTCATGTGGAATTATGATGGTTGAATTTTCTCCATGTTGTCAACGTGTGTGTGCCATCAGTAGCCAACCCTTGTTGACTGTTTACATTGATGAGAACTTCATTTTGAAATAGAAACTATTTTCTGTCTTAATATGTAGGAAAAACATGATACTAATAGTTAAGGTGTTCTGCAGGGGAGTCGGGAGGTAAATTTGCAGCCGTATGTACAGCGACGACAACAGCTTGTTCATACAGTTGCTCGTCGTGGAGTTTGTGGGCTCAGAGTTCGATGCTGTTTCAACTTCCACACAATCCAAATTCTCAATAAACACAAACCCAGATCGACAATCAAGTTGGTGTTGATCCAAACTAGTTGACAAACAGGAATTAGATGAAGACTCGGAACTTATGATGGTGATGTTGGTGCTGTGTGTCCCTTTCCAATCTGTATCAGCATTGAAGATGGAGGCGCCTCCCCCAGAAATGTCTGCTTTTCCACCCACCTTATTCTTTCAACTGCTCACGTCCGATTTCACTCAGTCGTCAATAAGTTGTCGTCGTTGTGAATCAAAGTCAAATCATTTTTGTTCAACCTTCATTCATTTGATACTGAAAAAGAGATTTTTGTTAGTATCGCGGAGCAATATTATCGTCGGTCACAAATTAATTGTATGGATAGCGTCTCCTAAAATTTTAATTAATGATATTTCATTCAAAAATTTAAATTGCTGTTCCACTTGAATTGCATCTTAATATTTTTACCAATTCCATAAAACATAAAATTATGTTCATGCTTCTTATTACGATGATCCATAGCATGCATCGGTTCGAGTAAGTAGGATGGTCGCTCGAGGACCCATTTCCATGTCCTAAAAAGCGACGGATGCAGCCCCGTCATGCTATTTTCTACCATGTTGCGTGTGCGTGCAACCACGTCTCCACACACCGGTATAGGTATATGTGTTCCCCCAAATGCTACCTCACCAGAGAAAGTGACACACTTAGATGATGCTGCCCTACGCCGAAGCTTCCCTGGTTCATCACCTCCCCTGAGTAGCTCGTTCTTCGACAGTACCAAACATCCGAGGAACTAATGATTCGTACTCTATCATCCTCTCCAGCTTTGACCACTGTTGATCACTTCTACATCCAATATCCAAGGAAGCGAGTAAAGCTTCAATCGGCTTCTGCGCAATCAAGATCATGAACTAGCTTCCTATAGCTTCCTCAGAATCAACTCCTTCTTCTTCCAGTCGAAGATTGAGTCTAAATAGTTATCGTCACCCTGTCGCAGGGGCTGCCATCACATGGGAAGTCTACGTGCTATGCTAAACCTACCATTGTTGTCTTCAGCTGTGCGAGTGCAACCGGTGTTCCGGGTTGCTTAGATGCTTGGATGCAGCAATATGATGCATGAAAGACCCAATCATACCTTTTGCAGCAAGCTTTTCTGAGTTCTCCACGAAGTAAGGAAGAATTGAGTGTAATGATATGCTTGTTCTTATCGAAGCATCAGGTAGAGAAGAAGAAGATGATGTTACAGAGAGAGAGAGAGAGAGAGAGAGAGAGAGAGAGAGAGAGAGAGAGAGAGATGTATATGTTGAGGATAACTGGCGAGTAGCTCACGCTATCATCTTTCTGGGTCGGGATCGGGCACCACGTCTGGCGACGTGCAATCGGAGGAGAGGGCGAAGCAGATCATGGCGGGCGTGCCGACCATGAGCAGGCCGAGGGGCACCATCCACAGCTGCTCGTTGCCCGGGTGGAAGACCGCAGTCCACCACACCAGTAGCGCAACGCCGAGAAGGATGATTAGGAGCAGACAAGCAGTGGCGGCCATCGGCATCGGCCGGTCGATATTGGCGGCAGAGGCGCAGGCTTTTCCGCGGCCGCTGGGGATCTTCCGGCGACCGGATTCCATGGTCTGCAACGTACACGGGAGGGTTTCGATGATAGGATGTGTGGAATTGTGAGGAGCTCCTGCAGTTGGTCTCGGCATCGCATCTATTTGTAATGCGATCTCGGATCCATAGGGCCTTCACATATGTTCGTTGGTTCCTCGAACGTGTGGCATCCCTATACTTTAATTCATTATCATCCGGGTTAATTACATATTACCACGTATATTTTAAAAAATTATATTAACATCCAAACTAATCATTCAGACTAATTACGAAAGTAAAACATCTAAATCTATTTATCATAATAACGTCAGTTTTACTAACGAAACTACGTAAATAAAAAATAATAATAATTTTAACGTTCGATGGTGAATGATGACGTCGTTGGCATCGACGTCGATGCAATTACTAGCCACCTTCAACGGCGATAGGATCCACTCTCACCGCGATGCCATCCGCCTCCATGAGTGCACTGCCGACCTTATCGTCGCCCTCCCCGCGCTCTTCTGCATTTATGTCGATGCTGATGCAATTGCTAAGCAACAACTATATCGACGTCAACGCAGATGTGGTAGCTGTCGCAGCATCTACGGTGAAGATGATTACGAAAGTAAAACATCTAGGTTCATTTACCGTAACAATGTCAGTGTTACCAACAAAAACATGAAAATAAAAGATAAAAAGTAATTTTAATATTCGGTGCCGGACGGTGACGTCGTTGGCATCAGCGTCAACACAATTGTTGGCCATCTCCGATGATGATAAGATCTGCTCTCATCGCAACGCCATCCGCCTCCATGAGGAGCGCGCTATTGACCTCATCGTCGTCTCGTGTCACTCTATATTTGCGTCGGCACTGACGTAATTGCAAAGCAACAACTGCATCGACGTTGATGCAAGTGGTGGTGACCGCCATGGCATCATCTATGGTGAAGATGGTGGTCGTCTCTCTGTAGACACTACGACGACCACCATCATCTGCGTCGATATCGATGCAGTTGCCACTTGACAACTATGTTAGAGTCGACACAAATGTAAAGCAGCAGGGGATGGGCGACGATGAGGTCAATGGCATGCTCCTCATGGATGCGAGTGGCGTCACGGTGAGAGTGGACCTTATCGTCATCAGAGGTGGCCAGGCAACTGCGTCAACGTCGATGCCAACGGTGCCACCATCCACCACCACCGACATCGTCCGCCAACTAACGTTAAAATTATCTTTTTGCCCATTATTTTTATATTTTCGTCGGTAAAACTAATATGGTTAGGGTAAATAGATTTAAATATTTTACTTTCGTAACCATAGGGATACCAATGTAACTTTTTAAAGTGTGAGAATCGAGACGTTAAAGATAGCTACAATGGGGAATCTATAATTAACCCTTATCATCCATATATATAGGTAGAATGTGTTTTCGATATGCTACTTTGGGATCAGTCAAGCTAGGACGAATATAGGGCAATTTCATTGATTTTTTTTTTTTTTAGACTTGTTTCGGAAGGTGATTCTTTTTTTCTTTTTCTTTCGGTCTCCTGATTTTTTAATAGTCATAATACCCCTCGTGATCACCCATCATTTTGTCACCTATGCCTTTGTTCTTGTTCATCGCTAAGGCCCTCATTCGCCACTGTCATTACCACCTTGCCCTCATCTACCAACTCCACCCTCACCGTGCCCTCATCGTCCATCTTCTCTATCTTTGTCTTCGTTTGTCACCCTCATCCGTCGCTATCATTGTTATCACGCCCTCGTCCATCGCCTGTGCCCTTGTCCACCACCCTCACCCTTGTCTGCTATTATTGAGGTATCGCTAAGGCCCCATCAGGAGGACTTCGCCCTCCTTGATGCCTCCACTATAAATAACGATGGAGGAAGGATGATGGTGAAATCGCCAACAAAGATCAATAATAAAGGAGTCAAAGGAGGGCAAGACCGTCAAGGTGAGCCTTTGCAATACCTCAATAATGAAGAAACGAACAAGGTTGAGAGCGAAGTCAACGAATGAAAGCACAATGATAACGACAACCATTGACGAGGACGAGGGTGGAGATAACAATGAGAACATGATAATAACAACAAAAGAGGACCTTAATGGCAATAACTACAAACGAGAGCGAGGGCGAAAGTGACGGGCGACGATGATGGGCATTATAGGTATAACAGAAAATAGAAACACCATTTGCGAAAAATAAAAATATGAGACTCCTTCCAAAAAAAAAAAAACCAAAAAAGAGAGATTCCAAGAACATACTAACAGTAATATAAATGTAAGAATATTTATTTGAAGCCTACATCTCTCTTAGTCAAATTAGGTTTAACAAAAAAAAACAAATATTAGAGACGTTTGCATTGCAAGATCATTAACAGACTAATTAGGAGTGCACCAAAAGAAATACCTTTAGGAAACCTAGAGACAGCTATAATAGCACTGTTAATCCACGTTGTCTTATCATTGATTTCATGTCACTGAGGCACATCTTTGGGGTGAAGTGTGAAGTTTTTAGTGATCATATAGGACAAATATACTCAGTAGATTAATTTTACTCATGCTGGCCAAGATTTCTTTCTTCTTTTTTTTTTGAATAGTGGCTTGGAAATTTGAGTACATAATCTTCCACTTTGATATCAAGTTAACTTATGAATATTATCATAGGGTTATTTTCTTTTACATTTTGTTCTAACACTACTAATTCATCTTATAATCAGAATCAAGTTTGCTAAAACATACATAATGGGTTTCAATACGAGATTACAAATGGATTTTTTAACATATTAAGAATCATTTGGTAAAATGGATTTGTTCATTATCTACTATTTAAAAACTAACAAAAACAGGTCATTTGTTCATTTAGACTGATCCAAGTTTTTTTCCTTAAAAAAATCGAAAATCGAAAAAATATAAAGAAAATGAACAGACAATAAAAAAGACCATTGTATTTTGCACGAAAAAGTATACTTAATTCTGTATATTGTATTCACTCAACAATGCGCATCAACACATGGATTCTAACTTGTATATGCAAAAAAGAATTGATCCGATAAGATAAAATCCTCTGTGGTGGAAGGCTCAAGAAAACGACAACATAGAAAAAGTCCAATAAGTTGCTCTTGAGAAAGTCCAAAAGAAATCCAACAGCTGACGCAGAAAAAAAGGCTTACCTTTACCTTCTTATTCCTTGATTAATTCACCGATGGAGAAGCATTGATTCAGATACACCATTTCATGTAGCAGTGGCTGATGCATAAATATTCAAATAGCAAAACCTGTGACACTATCATGTAACAGAAACACCAGCACTCCGGCTATGCAAGTCTAAATTATTATACGAATTACCATGTAGATCATATTAAACTTCAACTTTGGATATCTAAACCATGCATAAACCCGATCGATCATTCGAATACTTTGATAATTAGGTAATGGAACATACGTTTTCTAACTTGAGATGTAACATAGTCACTTTGCAATGTTGTTCAACAGAAATTAAACTTGCTCAAAAAAAAAAAACGTTTGTACTGAGGGAACAAATAGAGGGGTGCCCGCTTGGGTTACCTTAGGATAGGCTCCTGTTGAAGAAGAAAGAAACTGCAACGCCCTTTCTACAGCTTTATTCTTTTTTTTTATCATGTTAGGACTCATCTTAGTAAATTCTTGTCCTCTGACATGCCAAAAATTGACTGGTACTGAGTCCCATTCCTACAACACCTCACGTCTTTCAAATTCACTGCAAAACATTGATTAAAACAAACAATACTACGGTTGTCTCAGCCTCAACAAGATCCATGAAGGAATGCAAGATACAAGAATCGACAAACTGAAAGGAACCCTGGCTTTCTGTGCTTATGAGCATAGAACAAAAGACTATCTGAGATGTGCCTGATTAGCTCTTGGACTATTTTTATTGTGGTTATGTATAATGCCAGTCTTGACGACACTGCTTTCGCCATGATCTCAGTTTATAAATGCAGCCAGCAGCAATTAATAGGCCAAAAGCAGAAAGAGCCATAATTGTAGAATTCGCAAGATTTTGATGATAACCACCCTAGCAATAATGAAATGTTCACACATCAAACTTTTTAAAATACTTCCAATCAGCTTACGTGACACATTTTACCATCAAGATTTTAAAGCTTTTTCTAAAGTTGCAAACACAGCTACATACCTTGAGCAGAAATAACAAAATTGCTACATTAGCCGGTGCTAGCGAGGAGCTTATCATTCCCCCACGAAGCTCATTAGGTAGGTACCTGCCTAGGGAGAATGAGAATTGAAATTGAATCATTTAAGAATTGATGAGCATTAATGACTCACATTGTCCTCAATCTTGCAAGTGAAGGCAAACTAAACCCGACACAAGCATGAAAGACACAAAATAGAATAACCAGAAATCCAATCTCCTGTCATCAAAAGATATTGAGATATTAGAAAAGAAAGCTAGAAAAATAAATCAAATAGAAAAATACCAAATAATGGAGCTTTTTCTCTTTCCTTACCTGGTAATCATAAGCGACAATGAGCAAAGCTAAACCAGCAACCCCCAAAGCGGTTGTTAGGCAATCCTCATTTCCAAATGATTTTACCTCACTAAAATACCATGGAAAAACAGTGCTCCCGAGCATTCTTGAGCCAATAAAGCATGGGTATATCATAGATAGATTCACCTCTCTTCCATCTGCCTGCAGTCACACATCAATGAATCCAATTAACAGTATATCCTGAGATAACATAAATAGCAAAAGTGCTTCATCTGGAGTGCCTCCAATCATCAACTCCCAATTCATCTAATAAAGCAGGAGACTTTGCAGGATGCTAGTCTATATCACAGAATCAGAATTATTATAAATGGTTTCCAAGTGGGAGCATAAAACCATCACAATAACATGTATATATTAATATTAAAAAAAATGAAGAATCAGACAATGGGTCAGTTTGTGTTGTCACTGTGAAGCATATAGGTTCACAAAAGAATGACTGGACATTGGACAAACTAATCACGTCCAAGTGCCCAAAAGGCCACAAGATTTAACAAATAGAACAACAAGAAAATTTCTGGCTATTTATTAGTTTTTCCTTTTTTTTCTTTTTTAGTCTTTTAAGCCAAGACAAACTTCCATATTTTCAAGTATTTCAGAATCTTCATTTCAATATTCAGGAAATGTTCTTTTTTACTATGAAAGGGGAAAGAAACAAATAACAAAACTAGTCAATTGACCATTTAAACAAAAAGCATGGTCTCATAAATTAAATTCAGCAAAGATTTTCAGATGTACCAAATTTCCTCTCCACAGGCATTTAACTTTCATTTTTACGAGCTTCACCTGAAACCTCAGGACATGCTAAGTTCTTTATATGGTTAACCAGTCAATGGCCCATGCCAAAGTTTTCTTTCTTATTATGGTACAAACAACTCATCGGTTGATGACAAAAGTGTCTTTCTTCCTTGGCACTATCATAGCAGGCAAAAAAGAAAATCATGGATTTTGCATAATCCAATTGAAATACATAAAAATAGGTTCCTCAGGTGATTGATTGTGTAGAAAACTAGAAATAATTAAGTATAAAAGAACATCCTGAATTTTACATTGTGAACCTCAAAAATGCTGACTGATGTTTTCAGAACTTCCAAATAAAAATGAAATTGCATGGTAAACTGGACCTACCACTAAGGTCGGTGCCCAAAGGATCCAAACAACTGACATGGAGAAATGGATACTTGCTTGAGTCCATGCTAGAGCCAAAATCTTTTTGTCTGGCTAGCAGGAAGAATCATTATAAGAAATGGTTAATAGAGATTATCACAATGCTTTCAAGTATGTGAATAATCAATATAGAACAACCCAGAATAAGATGCTTAAAAATGAAGATAGATTCTAAACAAATACTAATAAGATGCTTAAAAATCAAGATAGACTCTAAACAAATACTATGATCAAGAAATTCTTCAGAAAAACATTATGATCAAGTCGTCTAACAAGTCACTAGTTGCTTAAGTCTAAAACTTAATGGTTTGTCAATTGTCTACAAAAGCATATAATCAAATGCCAAAATAACTTAAAAGAACCTATCCGCTCCATGTGATGAATCTAAAATAGCAGATATTGCAGGAAAGTGACAATAAATTTATCACATGTAAACTAGATAACCATGTCAAACCTGAGAAATCATTAAGCTATCTAGCTTGCTAATAATTTCTACAAAATTACAGTTTTCATTAACCACATAAAGAATATATGCTATGCAAGAAGCAAAGAGTTATTATCCACACCAATTGGTGTGTTTTACTGAATACAAGTATGGGAAAGGCACGGAGGAAGAAGACGAAGCTCGAGCATAATCTAAAAAGGCAGGATCAGTCTGATATGCATGACACCATGTAGCACATTTTATCCTGAAATCCTTATCCACCCATGCAAAATGCTTTGGTTTTAGTAGAAAGAAAGACAAATGCATTCGTGAATTACAGCTGTCAAACAACTAATAAACATTGCCGCTGAGCTTTTAAGGCATGATAAATTCATTGGATGAGAAGTATACACTTCTACATAAACGACCAACTCAATGAAGTGCATGTCAAATTCAAAACACAGATGAATAGTATACTTCTCTCATTCATATATTCTGTGCACACAATGTGAATTCATAGTTTTCTTAGTCTTCAATACCATTGCATATTTTACTGCCAGAATGATCATATTACTGATATGTGATTTATAGAGTAAATTTCATTCTAGTTAGAGTATGTCATTTCATGCATAGATAGTATAGTGAATCGTTGGTTGACATCAAAAATATCCATGGCACCATTCGTGGAACAATTTGTTCTGAGCTTTGTCTTGCTAGGTAAACATCCAATGTACTTTAAGCTCTCAATTCTACAGATGTTTGGTTGAAGCAGAAAAAATATATCCATCAGTAAAACTTTCTATATTAAGATATAGCATTTGTTTTGTTGCATTTAAAATTGTTGACTAAAATTATTGCATCCATAACTCAGATTGTGCTGTAAATGTTCCTCACCTCTAAGAACATGAGCTGAGAATGATTTTATATAACTGTCAACAGAAATTATATGATAACTTCTGCTCCATTGTTTCCTGATACAGAGAGCGCTTAAAATTGCCAATAAGGCAGCCAGAACATAAGGGGAAAGGGATCTTCTTTTAAGATCTTTAACTAACAAATTTGCCAGCCCTTGGCTGCCGATTAGAGATAGAGACTCAAAAAAGGTCATCAACCAAAATGTATCACTCAGAAGATCTTGCTTGTGACCTTGCTGCAAAAATGAAAGAAGAGACATCAGCCTGCTCCTGAGAAACAACATTAAGAAAAAAGCTGAAGCAGAAAGCAAACCTTTTCATGTTCCATTACCATCCATGTCTCATAACAGAATGAGAACAAAGAAGAAGCAAGTGATAAGCATATACTTGATATCCAGACAGTTGGATGCCTGACCACACTCTTCAAGACACCAACAAAAAGATGAAGAATGCAAAATAACAGACAAGCCTTTCTTGGACCCCTACAAAAATCAGTTTAATGATTATATTATTAGTATACAATCGATAGAACTTCATATGAAAGTAATGTTCAAACGGAGATGAATAGAGAGAAATGGAGTCATTTCAACGAGTGGAAAGTTATCAAATTAACATGTAAACCACTAGTGATATTAGTAGATTTTACATAGTATTTTTCCACCGCAACAGAGTCTCCATTACATTTTCTATATATCTCCGCATCTTATCCCAAAAAAGTTTCATAAAGACTTAAAAGTATAATGATGAACCATCTGTTCTACAGATTCATGAATCCTTGAGCCAAGGTTTTAAATATCAATCTGATGCCAGTTATAACAACTTGTCTGACCAATATGAAATGAAGACTCTAAGCAGTATAAAACTTGGTATCACCAAAAAAAGGGTACCAAACTGTATGATTTGTTATTAGTGTTTTGGTCAGACTTGTTAATACTAATCAATACCTATGGATCCAACCAGTAATTTAAACCACACAAGTGTGGATATAGAATGTACTAATAGGATGGGTTACATTACAGAAATATAGCAAGAAATATACCCTAGTTACATATTTTTACATAATTTGGAACAACTACTTGGTTACTCACAGATAGACCCAAATATTTTCCCAGCTCCCAGTTGCAATGGTTACTTATAAAATCAAGGTTGAATGCCTATATAGATAGGCATATCTACAGATATGATGTTCCTAACTTAAATATTATGCTACTATGAAAAGGATAAGAAACTGGAATAGCAAAGAGGGAAATGTGCTTCAATTTGAAATTATCAGGATACTACTAGAGTATGCATATCATAGCCTTGAATCTGCATGTACTAGAGTAGGATGAAGACAGACTGGCCTGTAACTTCACTGTCAAAAAATTTTTATTTGATTTGCAAATATCATAGCAAAATGATCATTTTAATATATGACATACTCGATGATTTCCAGAAAACTCGACAGCTACAACAAACCAGTGCCTTGACAATTTCTATCTGAAACCCCTTAACTAGCCTTTGAAGATAGGAAGTTAACATCGAAAAGATATCACTACATCCCACAGATCGAGTTATCCTAGAAAAAAAGTCTTCTTAAAGCATAACCATAATGGTTTATAGTAAGAATGTAGTTAGTAAGGAGGCGTGAGCCCGATGTTCTATTATCAATACCTGACACAGGACATGACAATGTGCCACAGTCACAGTTTGCCAATCATGTACAAGTCATATGGCCAGCACATTCATATATAGAAATGTCTGAATTGATGCCTCATGATGCATGATTATAAATTATTTGAAAACCATCTAATATTTCCTAAATACAGAACGGTTGTAACCATCTGTAATCTACAAAATGGATCAAGGACTGATGTGGTAAGATCCTCAGATGTTGGAGAATTATAAGCATATACGAGATACATGACGAAGGCAAAAATGAATGCAAAAGCCTCAAATTTATCTTCTGTCATTGTCGAAGAGGAGAAAACCTATTTCGATGAAGATGGATGAAAGGAAGAGAATGATGATGATATGTTTGAGAATGACGATGTTGATTATGATGATGATTGAATTTGATGTAAAACTTTATTGTTTTGAGTCTTTTGACATTTTTTTTATTAGACGATGAATAATGTGACTTTGTACTTTAGATCTTTTAATTTAATATCATATTTTTATTTATATAATCATATTTATCAATTGTACTATATATTTTATTATTTTAATATTTCAATGCGTCTCACTTCGCTCGGGTGATCACCTAACGCCTCGAGCATTTTGGGACCTTGATGCCTAACATTTTTTAATTCACTGTGTACAAGTCATATGACCAACACACTGGCATGTCTAGATTGATGCCTCGTGATGCATGATTATAAATGATTTGAGAACCACCTAATATTTTCTAAATACAGAACAATTGTAGCCATCGGTAATCTACAAAATGGATCAAGGACTGACGCAGAAACCTAGAGAACTGATCTTAAGGAGAGACAAATCTTAAAACCAAAACATGGCAAGAGCTCTAAAATCATTAGTGGCGTGGGAAGAAGTTGAACTTTAGCAATTAAACCCTTTGTGGTGATTAATAAGATATGTAAATTACAAGAAACATTATATGACTTTAAAATGTAAAAAATAGAAAGAAAAAAAAAGTAATTTAACGTTTTCCTAGTAATAGTAACAAACCAGCTAACTAAATCAAAGAAGAAAAAAAACATGATATCATTACTTTTTTCCTAGTAATAGTTACAGACCAGCTAACTAAATCAACACATTTATTTAAAGATACTTTTAAGCCCAAAAGTAGAGAGCTATCCTATGGCAAGTATCTTTTCCAAATAATCTCTACATTGATCCTATAAATTAAACCATGAATATACACACTATAGATAACCTATTCTGTAAGTTTCTTCTCAAAAAAATTCTCACCATAGAGCCTGCAACTACAGAGGTTCATTTGTCGATGAACTTAAGTGGGTTCTCTTCTTGATTTAATTCATCTTTCATCAAAGTCCATTACTTTCAAATCTCAATCTACTGAGTCCGATTCATATTCTAGAGTCTAAGGATTACAAGTGTTGCAGTTACACACTCCTCGCTAGGAGGCATTCTGCATTAACATGAATTCATCAAATAGTTGCCGAGTGTAACATACAATAGCTATGGAAGGATCATAATTTCACTTCTTCTGCAGTTGAAGTCACCTACAACCAAGAATTGTCGTACCAACGATACCAAGGCGTATCGAGCATTCCACCATCATACCAGACCTAAAGCCTAGTCAGACCAAGTCCTGCCCTCTGTAAGAACCTGATTCGTGTTCAATTTCACCTTTTCAGCCATCGAGTCGATTTGATTCCCAGACGAAGCTAAATATTTATCCTCCATCGAATAACAATCGTTAACTTGAGACGGACTACTAGAGAAATAGAAAGAGAAAAAATGAGAACTTACACCATATCAAAAAGAACGCCGGAGAAAGTACCAAAAACGAGAGCAGCCACAGCTCCTATGGAGAGATACCATGTCATCTGCTCACGGCTGATTCCGTATAGTGCGAACTCATACTCACCAAACATCGATTCAAGGCCGTCCATTACTGCAAATCGATGAATCCATATCAAGATCCAAAACTGTGGATGCCAATCCAAGAACCCGCTACCGAAAAGCAAAGAAACCACGAAAACCCTAATCATATTCATAAAACAAGAAATGACCGGGAAGGAAGGATCAAGGACCGGAAGCCAGCGAGTAGAGCAGCAAGAAGCCCCTCTGGAAGCGAAGAAAAGGGGCCGTAGGGCCGAGATCGAGCAGAGAAGACGCCCCGGATCCCCTGGCGGCGTTGCTCTTGGAGAAGTAAGGGCGCAGAAAGACGGAAGCGAAGCAGGCGGCGGAGAGGACGATGAAGGCGGAGGGCTTCGGCTCCCATCGATCGCTCTCGATCACCACTCCCATGTCGCGGACGGCCGAGGGGACGAGAGGAAGGTGCTGTTGTGTGCGCTCGACGGACGCGAAATGGGACGCTCTCTCTCTCTCTCTCTCTCCAATCCGACGGTGCCGATCTTTCCTCGACGCGATGATGATCGCACAGCGCCGCGTCTGTTTTGACGACGCATAGTTCTGTGGTAGATATGAACCCAATCAAGTTTTTGGCCATTGGATCGGTAGTCGAACCGGTGATGAACGGTCGGATCATAAACTTGATAATATTTAATATTATATATATTTTTATATTATATAAAAAAATATAAATGGCATATATTTGAATTTTTGTTCAATAAAAGTGCTTGAAAAAGAGATTAATAAGTAAGATAATAAATGAAATAAAATAAATAAACAAAATTGATGTAAGCCAATTTTGGTCTCATTTGGGCTTTGGTGTTGTGCGGTCAATCTTGTCACTTCTGTTTCTTCATCTGCATGAATTACATCTTCTATATGAATTATCGAAGTCCATCGTCTTATGTTTATGTATATATATATATATGTATATATATATAGAGGAACAGATCGTATTTAAAAATTTTAATATATATATATATATATATTGTGATTATTTTTGAATTAGTAGAACGAGAGATTGGTTGAAGAAAAAAGAATTTAAATATAGAAAGATTTTTGTACGAAGAAAATAAATTTAGATATTATAAATTAATTAATTTATAAGTATCTGATGTATCTTTAATAAACGGAGAGAAACACTCTGGGAGTGTTCATCAAATTATTTCGTAAGAAATCTAAAGATACTCTCGAAATATTAAGAGTAAAATTTTTTAAGATCTTAATGTTCCAGAAAAGAATTTTATTTTAGATAAGAAGATTTTTTTTATTTTATTTTATAAAAAGATGGATAATGAAAACAGAATAAAAAGTTTTTATCGGTTATGCTCGTTGATATTTTTTTTAACATAAATAAGGTAAAGTAAATAATAATAATAATAATAATAATAATAATTAAATATTGATTTGATGGTGACGTATCGAATCTATTTATTAATAATTAAGGAGTTTTAATTAGTTGGTGAATAGAAATCTAACTTGATCCATTGTTAATTAATGTGACCCTTCGTCCGGTCGAAAGGTCGACGACGTGGACACGACCAAGTGGCACGAATCACGTGGAGAGGAAGCGGTCCTGACCTGTCCGTCTCTCTGTCTCTGTCTCGTCAGTACGACGCTTGCCACGTCTCAACGTGCATGGTTAGCACGATGGTCAAAGCACGGAACAGCCCGTCTCGTTTCACACGAGACCGCCTTCTCTCTCCACACGTCGCCTCCTACGTAGCATCGTACCGATTCGCCATGACATGCAGACGTTATGGTACGCCCCCACACTGACGTTAGTGACCGAGGGTTGGTGGATGATTATTATATTACATATATGACCGGCCATTAAATATCTTTATATTTACTTTTTCTTCAAAAAAAAATCTCAAGAAAATATGATTAAAACAACACGAATCTGAATTTTCTTGAAGGTGACCTGAGAACTTGGAATCCTTCACGCAAGTCTCACCGGCCTAATATCTCTTTTGTCTCCTCTCCTACTGACTTTTTATCTTTAACCTCGAGCTTCGTTCGGTAACCCGTCATGACCTTGAATTCCAAATTCCAAGATGTCTTGTCTTATTGCCTCGGTGACGATCAATCATCTCCCTACTTTGGATAGCAAAAAGCATTAGAATCGATGAAGATGGGAGATAAGGCTGAGATGAACAGTTTTGGAGGGACTCGTTGTACTACTTCCCTGAAGAGCCTCGTGAATCTAGAAAGATGGGTTGATGTTGAAGTTGCCGGGAAATATAATACCAAGTCAAGTAAGAGCGGAGACTTTTATTGAAGGAGTTAATGATGAATATAGATAGTAGGTTTGACCCACAGTCAACGTATTGAAACTCAAGTTTCTAGAATGAATTGACGTCGAATCACACGTAGTTTATTCTCTGAAAAGAGAGTCTTGTTTCATGTATTTAATTATTCTTATATAGGAAACGATTTAGCTTGTTTTTTGTGGATACAGAAAAGAGGTATGGAATCAGAGAAATCTCTTTAGGTCTGTCTTCTCTTGTTCGTGACCATAAGCTCTTGTCATGACATGAGAATGTTTCATGTCAAGAACATGCACTGTTTTCCCTATGATCCTAGTGGAAATTTCCCAAACCCTAAAACAGCGAAAGTGGAACCAGCAAGAAGAGGACCGAAAGGTACACAGAAGCCGGTGGAGGTCATGTTCGCGTGGGGCAGAAGGAGGACGGTGACAGAGACGCATGCAAGTAACAGCCACCTCTCGCTGCCTGTGGGCGTAGCCATCTATCTCGCTTCGATGGATGGTCCACCTCATTCGATTCGCCAACCACTGTGTCTGCTGCCATGTCCTGCTGCTCCATCGTCGCAATAAAACGAGCGGAAGAAGGCCTGCTGCGTTCATCTGTGTACGCGAGAATAACGAGGCAGCAGGAAGCACACACGTACGTGTAGCAATTTGATGCAGGCCACCAATTGGGTAGGACCGTGCTACGACAATAAACTGGAGGATCTCTCTACTCATCAGTAAATGATCGTTCATTATCGGTGGGAGAACCATCCGAGTGTGGGATGTGCATGCAAGGAGAAGACATAAGGTGGTCTGAATGCGTCGCGAAAGCCTGTTGACATGTTATCCCTCCCGCCTGTGGAGGAAACCTCTCGGAGAAAGGGATGGAGCACCTGCAATGGTTTTGGAATCGCATCCTCAACTGTGGGGGCAAATTTCCTTGGGTGACACCATCAGAAAGCAACCACAGATGATGGCATTAATCTTACCTTATAATCTTCATCCGTCGAAAGAGATGGTGCAGGAAACCAAAACACAAGTCTGAGAGAGATGGCTAATTAGCATTTCCAATAGAAGAATAAAATACAATAAATCTTCATGAGATCTAATATAATTTGACATTGGGAGTAAACTGTTTCTTGTCTCTGGTCTTTGGATCTAATTTAATGTTCAGAAAGGTGTCATCGTCTCACTCTCTCTCTCTTCTTTTTTTTCCTCTGGTCAAATCATCTTGAATTATTTTGTCATTTTTAATTATTTTTATATCAAAATAATGTAGATGACCTACTCAGACCCACCATCAATCATTGTCCTATAAGATATGAGGAACAGGAGTATCAAACAACTAGTTTTCCTGCAGTCATGTGATCCACCGAGAGCAATTTAGTAGTTTCTGCACACAGATTTGCTGGACTCGGCAAGGAGAAGATAAAGTTCACATGATGGGTGTCTTCTCCCATGTCTTCTATCATCTCCGAATACATGCAAGCCAAAGTGTACCAGTCACAACGCAAGGATGATCGATACATTTTAATGAAAACACTATTCACACAGGTCGGATGGGTCCAAAGCAATGTGCCAAATCAATCCACCCAATCGTCGAAGCATCAGAACACAAATCTGGTTTGATCGCCTGTCTCACTCTTAACCACGCTCACCGAACGCAGCTCACCGGAAACCTACCATCCGGTAGCCTCTGGTTAGGGACTCGAGACACGCCACCATCCCTCTTCAATGCCACTCCTCCACATAAGGATGAGTAATCTGCATCCAACCTGCCCGCTTTGATTGATGTTGTCCTGCCTGCATCCAAAGAAACCCACCTCACTGCCTCTCCGTTTGCGTTGACCGGATTGACGCAACTCATCATCGTGATGTTTTATATTGTTTATGTTTTCATTTTCGAGAACGGATGACATTTGAATCCTCCCAACCATCCAACACATGATATTTGTGTCGTCAATAAAATATCTCTTGTCCTTAGAAATCGAAAATACTTGTAATTTAAATTTTTTAGATTATATGAATTATGTGTATGATTTTTGAATAGTTTGATTCTGACTGCTATAGTGTGATTGGTCTGACTTTTCAACATTTCTCATCCGTTCTTTTTTATGTGTTCTCATAGGACAAGCAACTGAAGTCTTGGATCCTTTATCCCAACTTTTCAGCCTCCATCCCACACCCCAAAAAATACGATAATAGTAGGAGTGAGAGAAAGAAATGTTGCATCACGACAAGCAATCTTCTTTTTTGTGTGTGAGATGAGCTACGCAGCATGAGGGCGTACCGAACCTAAGCGGAGAGGCCTCCAAAAATGTTGACGCGAAGGTGGCATGCATGTTATCTTTATTTTCCATTTGGGTTTCACGGTGGTACCGACGCTGACAACGCCCATCTGACCCACATATTCTATCAAACACTGGTTGTTGTTCCTCCTCCTCCTCCTCTGCCATGGTGTTTCCTTCTCTGCTCACTCCAATTGTTTTGGGGGAAAACCTAAACCTTCTTCTCTACTTGTTTTAAGGTTGTGAGATGGTGGAAATCGAACAGCCATTTGGGGAAGAAAGTTGATGCATTGATGATGCCGATGGCTTATTCTGACAGGGAGAGGCCAAACGTGATACACCCAGATTATTAACAGGAACGAAGTACGGTGTGGTGTGATTAGCAGCTCAGCTCTTGTGTAGGATGGCGAGGAGGGCAGCCCTGAGGGTGTCCTCCACTTGCAGCTCGGTCGGCACCTTCACCACCACGTCCTGCAGCACCACGTCCTTGAGGGTCGACACGCTCGCGTGGTGCACGCTGAGCTCCAGATCGCGCAGCGCGCACATCAGCTTCGCCGGTGGGTGGTTCTGGTCCTCCGACTGCACCCTTATTAGCGCGTCATTTCCGAGGAGCTTCACCTCCATCTCGATTGCCACCGTCACGGCGGTCGGGGGGCTGCCGGTCGTCGCCGAGGCGGCGTTGGTGATGGAGGTGGCGGCTTGGTCCGCGGCGGTCTCTTTCTTGGCCATCTTGGCTTCGGCCTCCAGGATCTCGACCTTGGCCTTGAGGTCCTCGATGTAGGTTACGGCGTCGGCCAGCAGCGACGCCTTGTCCATGCGCGACACGTTGGGCACCACCGAGCGGAGCGCGTAGAAGCGGTGGTTGAGCTTCTCGCGGCGCTGCCGCTCCGCTTCGACGTGGTTCGACGTGCAGTCGCGGGAGCCGCTCCCGGGCCTGCGCCCCCGCTTCTTGGGCCGGCGGCGTTCCACGGTCGTACCGCCCTCCGAGTCCGAGTGCTCCGAGTCGACCGACGACGAGAGGCCGGCGCCTTCCTTCCTCACCGCAGGCGAAGGGAATGCGACGGCCGCCAGTGCGGCTCCGGCGGTAGGGGATGCGTCGTTGGGACCCTCGGAGAAGACGGCCTTGGCCTGGTGCACCAGGACCCAGTTATCGCCGATGAGGTCAGGGGAGCCGAGCTCAAGCACGCCGCCGGGGACAGGCACGCACGCCAGGGTCTGGATCCCGTGGAGCTGGGCCTCGCGGCTCCGGTCGCACCCGCACGCCTGGAGGGCATGCGCGCCGGTCAGCCACAGGAGCTCCAGCGAGCCGTAGACCCGCGCGGGGATCGCCCCGCCCCCCACGAACGACCGGCTGAGCGACATGATGTAGAACCACTCGGCATCATCGACAGCATCGGCGCCGGCCTCATCGGCGGCGTAGCAACCACGGGGCCGGCGGTCGGTGGGGCAGCGGGCGCCGCGGAAGTGGCCGTCGCCGAAGGAGAGGACGCGATGGTCGGGGGAGGCGCGCCAGAAGATGGCGTAGGCCCACCACTCGGGGCGGGCTTGGAGGAGGCACTGCAGCCGGCGCTGGAGCTCTGTGGCGGGAGCCGGCTGGTGGAAGGAGAGGGGTGGGGGGGGGAGGAGGAGGAGGAGGGGGAGATGACGGGCAGCTCCTCCATCGCTGTCTGCAGCGCTGCGATGCAGTCGTATGTGTGCTACGTCTGTGAGACGGAGGGTAGGGAGGGAGTTGGCAATATAATGAACGAGCATAGGGCGCAAGGAAGGGGTGGGTGGAAGAATGGCAGAAGTCCGGTACAATGATTGCAATCTTTGAGGTGGCAAGACGTAGATGGGGGGGAGGAGGAGAACGTGCCATGTCGAGAACGACAAATGCAGATACAATAATGGAGGGCCGCCGAGGAACGGGAGGCGAGCAGCCACGGACTCCCATCCCAGCAGAAACTTGTGTACCCTTTGGTGCAGTGCCGCCACGCCGCATACGCTTGCGGCCTCACCGCTGGGAGCTTTCCCGCCCCCTTCTCTCCCACATCCCCGCCGGGGCCACAACGGCGGGTGATCTCTAGATGGGGAAGGATATGCCAATGGCATATACCGGAGGAGCCGCAATCGTGGGGCCCGTCGGTCCCGAAGCATGACGTGGTTGTGCTCACGGAGGCCTAATAGTCACGTGATGTTATTGTTATAAATGCGTATTGTATCATTTGAACCACCACGGTTCACTAATTAAATCGATCGACTGTTGGAACAACGAAAACACCATCGATTCTCTTTTTTATTTGATTTTTTTCCCAATACATTTAAGTTTTTTTAGTTTTATAATATGAATTAAAAGAGAATGAGATCGACGTGCATTTTTTTTATAGGAGGAATGTTCTGTCGGTACTATCATTTTAATACGATATGCATTTCTCGAATCTATGACCAACATCGATCGATTGATTGGTGGCGATCGAGCGTTTCCACTTGGAGCATCGGAAGACCAGATGATCTCCGTGAGCCCACATGACAAGGGAAGGATGATGGGGGCCTGCAGGGGGAAACCCCACACGGCGCCGCTTTATGATTCGTGCGACGCCGATCCGTCGCTCCATTTTCGTCACGTGCGTGGAACGTCGCCGTCTTGGGACCATCGGCGCTGCTTTATGATACGTGCGACGGCAATCCGTCGCTCCATATTTTCGTCACGTGTGTGGTGGACCACCGCGTCGCCTTCGTTGTCACCTTCTCATTCGACAGCGACCGCTTCTCGCTCGGGATTTCGTCACGTGAGGGATTCGTAGGTAGGTATCGGAGCACGGCGACAACCAGTTATGCGTTCGCATGTACCTCCGACTCGACAATAACGATCTCCGTTCCCACGGACACGACGACGGTGCGCTCAAATTGCCTCCATTATTGGCGTGTTAGTAGGAACCGGTTGCGTCCTCCGAGTCACGTGCTCGGTTGCGAGAAAGCAAACGTTACATGCCGGGGATCTCGACTCGACGTTTTGCGTGGGCTAAAGAACAGCAACTAATTAAGGCGCATCAGCATTATTGGCAGTCGATGGCGAAGGTTTGGCAGATTGCAACGACAGGAATCCCTTATCCGATAAAACATGGTTCCTGTTGCTTTGTACCGATGTCGAGGAGACCACAAGCATCGACATCAAATTACCCACGAAAATTAACCATGGAAAGCTGCATTTTTCCTGCACGTTGTCTTCCATGATTCCCCACGGCCAAGAACAGTTGATTTATACAGATCACGAGGTAGCACAGCAACTCTTTCAATAATTTGAGCAGAGGCCAAAAACTATTGTAGTTAAATTATGCTGTTGACATTTAAGAGAGGGACATGGGGGGAGGGGTGCAGGTTGACCTGTTCAAATGATAATTGATTGAGAATAAACCCTCAACCCACCCCCCCAGGGTTCATGGTCTCACACTATTCCTGAAACTATTGTAATAAAATGGTTTTATTAATGCGGTTGTTAGTGACAGAAGAAACTATCATAAAAGGAAAGAAGAAAATAATAAAGATGTAGCATTACAAGAAGGGGTAGAGGAAGATATAGTTCATACCCACTGATATTTGTATGATTACATGTAATCTAATATAGATTAAAAAAGAAAACTTTGAGGAACATCGGGGAAAGCACAACAGATCAATCCCTCAAGGAGTATTTCTTCCCGGTGAAGGCCTGGAACTTTGGTTCTTCATTCCTTGCAGCTTCTTCTTTCATTTCTTTAGGGGCATCCTGCAAATAACAAAACATTTTTCAGCTTAGATAAATTCAGAAAGAGTATCACCATGAACACATCTTTTATGGATTCGCAAAAGCACATTACTTAAATCGGATCCCATATACCAGCAAGACTACTGGTACTATATCCTTAACATAGAAACCGGTTCGCATTATGTTCCTTTATTATCTATCAGATAACAGAGGCAATGACTAGGTAAGAACAAGTCATCCACCTTCTGTGCTTCTCTGGAAGCATGACTGGAATGTGAACCAAAGACGAGTTTTCCCATATTTTGATGGGAAGAACCACTCTGCGAAGTGGATGGTGTTGACTGCTTTCTGCTGTTCGCGGCTTCAGATTTCCGATCCTTCACTGAAGAAGTAACAGTTGGGGCATCGTCCTTCAGAGGCTTTCCATCTAACCTTCTTCGGATGCCAGTAAATGGGGTGAACCTGTGTTCATCTTCAGCTTCATCTTGAGCATCCTGAACTGAAACATCAAAACAAGTACCTCTAAGCAGCAAAAGATGATAGAAACTTTAGCATCAACAAGCAACATTAGTTTTGGTCCCTGCATATTCAACTTATTCCAATTAATATAGAAATTGACCAACTTGAACAAAAAAAGTGTCACGCTACAGATCAACCAACAATAGACATTAGGATGCTACATTGACTAACTGACAACCGACCTAATTGTAGGAAATAAAGGTAACAGAAAACAAGAAAAGTAAAAGACAGGAAGCAATATCTTAAAATACAGGAGACGGTATCTCTCACACAACTACCATGTAGAAAAACTTAAAAGGACCAGGTAAAAAGGCTGCTGAAACCCCCCATCATAAAACCGGATACCTCGCTATGAAACAGAGTCCAAACCACACAGTCATGAAGGTACAATGCATGGGAGCCTGAACAGATTCTCCCTGAACCGCGCTAAACCATCAATGCAATGGTATCGCTACTATGCAGTTTTCACTTAGAACTAGCTCTACAATTGCTTTCTTGAAAGCAAACAGAACCTACAAAGAGTATGATAACAAAAAAGGTGACCATATAAAGCACTTACATTGAAATATTGCAATATTTACAGTATAACCACCAACGGCAATAGTCTTTTTATAAAATGATGTCGTAGATATGGATGAGTCTGACAGATAAGTGAAAAGCAGAATATTATTTTAAGAGGAAAAGGCCAGAGATAGCTTGAATTGAAACCTTGAGCCGGTGCTTTGCTTGTAAAGACAGAAGTTCGTTGTCGTTTAGGCTCTTTGTAATCAAGTGGAGGTGCAAAATCAACCTCGCAGTCTGTCTCAATAATGCTAACCGCAGAAGAAGGCTTTGTTTCCAGAATATCTATGTAATACTTCTTGTTGTTATACGCAACCATGATACTGTCACCAGTTGTTAAACATGAGTAGTTTCTTAATGTTGTTTCCAAGCTGCAACAAATACAAAAAAGATATTGTTAATTAGTACCTCCACTGTACCAGCGGTTAGTATTCCATAAAAAGTGCAGCAGATGCATCTAAATTGATCTGAAGCATGTTCACTAACATGGCCTTGGGATTTGAGATATCCAAAAAGTCTTGTGTGTGCGGCTGTAACTTCGCATATGTACCCTTGGGAAGAGTGGCATTTTTTACATGCACTATATCTCCCTCTTGTAGAAGTAAATTTTGCATCATCTACAAATGGAAGAGATGATTATTAAACAAACTTTTCTTCCAGAAAAAGCAGCATAAAAAAATATATTATGAGCATAAACTAAAAAGATATTCTTAGTAGTACCCACCCAATATGGCATGTAAATCATGCCTTCCTCTGCAATGAACTCCAAAACACCACAATGTGAAACTCGCTCTGTGGCAACATTATGCAGCTCAAATAACATTGGGTAGTCAATATGCAGAGCAGCTGCAGAGTACAATTGTCAGCATGATATATCTAGCAAATAAATCATCCACTAGACAAAACATAAGCTGTTGCAGAAGCACAAAGTGACTAAATCAAAGAAGTTTAACATACCAAGACGATCGAGCGCAGAGGGAGGCATTATAACTGAAAGAACAGAAAGCAAATGAATCCATTAAAATCAGGAGGACATAAAGAAGAAAATTTCAGCCAATAATTCTAAAGAGAACAAGGTCACAAATGGCTTACTTTTATCACCAGTTTCCAGCTGTGGCTGCAGAGATACACAGAAATATCAATACTGGTGAAGGTAAAATCTAAACAACTTAAGTAAAACCTAAAATTAATCATAGTGTTTCAAACTATTAGGAACTCAAAATATTTGAAAGCATGTACATTGATATCCATGCATATTTGAAAGCATGTAATGAAGAATTTCTCTCATTTTTTGATATGTCCAGAATCACGGTGCTTACTGAGTTGTGGTTGCTTATATAATCATTTCTTAATTTTTCAGATTCAAGGATTTCTCTCATTTTTGGATATGTCCAGAAGAACGATTTAAGTTTTGGAAACTATTGTACATTCAAATTATTTTGTATATATGTTATTTGGATGTTAATATCACGAATTCTTAAGGGGCTATTGAATTTATTGAGATGTCTTGTGAGTGCATTGATTATTGATTGGATCATGTAATAAATTTTCTATGAAAGTTATCTGTTTTGGTTTAGCCTTGCATTCCTCAAGGAAAATATATAGGATTGCGGCATTGTACCATCCCTAACTTTCTGTTGGGCTGGCGGCATTACAGTTTATTAGACGAAGGTGGGGGGAAAGGGAGGGGAAGATGCTGACGCCTACAACATAGTGGCGATGGAGTGGGCAATGACAAAGGAGGAGAGAAAGATGTCGTTCGCTGATTAGGTTTCCAGGGGGTTGTCGTGTCATGTGCGTGCATTGGGGGTGTGTGAAGATTAGTTGATATGGTTTGATCGAACCAGATTTAGTGAACTAGGTCTGACCAATATCTAGTGATCTGGATCGCTCTTACCCGATTTAAATCAAACGACCACTTAGACCGCTTAACACCTGCATCTAGGCATTCGCCCACCTGGTCCACTTATTGAGCGCTCGAGTCGTGCCTCGCCTCGCCTCACCTAAGTGCCAAGGTAAGCGCCCAGTTGTTCGTTAACTTCACTAGGTAGGAGCCACGCCTAGCTTGGAGTAGTAATTCTTTGGTCAAAGGAGGACTTCCACGTGCTTTTAAAAAGAATAAGAATGCCAAATTAACTTTGGAGAGTGGACAGTAATGGGTGGGGAAATCCTGTGTCTTTCGAAGTTGACTAAAGAAAGGAGAGAGCTAACAAAGCCTCATCACCACTTCTAGTAGTCATAGGGCAGACCTTTTTATGTTTCAATACTTTTCATACTAGACTTCAAAAAATTTTCAGTAACTAATTTTACTGCTCAAAGTTGTTCCATCTAGATCTAAACTCACGATGTGGACATAGTAAAATTATGCAATTTATTTTACTATTGAGATTCATGAGTTATTGGTCTCTTTTAATGGTTTAGTATGATGACGAGATTATCTCTCTCTCTCTCTCTCTCTCTCTCTCTCTCTCTCTCTCTCTATAACCCTCATACATATAGGAGGATCATAAACAAGGACTATGCTTAGATGTTATTTTCTTTTTTCTATGTAGTACAATTATTTTAATTAATAGTTTATTTCTTTAGTTGATAGCTTCGAAGGCAATTTCCCCTCGAACAGGAGAAGATCATGTTAGAGGTGTCACTTCAATCATAGGGTTTGCACAATGTACAAAAAGAAAGGCAAATCCTCTTTGGAATCATCTTCCCAATGAATAGACTGATGTAATATTTTAATAAGGAATATATTTCCCTAATAAAGTTTATTTTCACTATTAAAATATGCCATGGTTCATCTGTTTTATGAATTTAAACATTTAATTTGTTAGACGAGCTGAATGAATAAAATAAATTATCTATTAGATGAAATAGATCTCAAACCTTATCAATAAAAGATGTAGGGTAGCATCGGTAGGTCTGCTCAAATGTATCTCTATGATAGCCAAACCCTTCAAAAAACTGATACAAAAAAAAGAAAAACTGTCAAAACTAGTAAGGAAATGGAAAAAAAAAAACTAACTAAATATAAAATAAATTGCAAATGAAAATATGCAATGTCAATAATAGTTCCAAAAATAAGTAATAACCATACAACTTGAGCTAAACATGCAAGCTGCTATAGAATAGATCTATGTCAGATATAGTTGCATCATAGTTACAGCAATAATAGTGATCAAATTTGGAAGGCTTGTGTGTAGAATAGGGTTGACATTCCATGTGCTTGGTGGAAGTTCAATGTAGTTGACTGAATTCAGCTAAGGAAAAAAATCTGTTGCAACTCATAAGGGGAACTTGTACAGAAATTCTTCATACGTAGGAACATTCTTAACCACTTAAGTCACGTCTCTTGTTTTCTATCCTTTAATCCTACCCAGTAAATAAAATGCCATGAAGAATCAGACTAAAAGCTTATTAAGCATTGAAATAACTTGCATATGTATGATCTATAATGCTTTAAGGGTCTAAACTTTATTCTTTATTTTTTTTCATGACTTCAAACTCTGGTGGTGCATCATTAACAGTCAACATAAGCTAGCTACTAATAGCCAGCTTTACCAGTGAACTTGGGCACCTCATGTTAGCATCTGAGCATCGACTGTACTTAACTCATTTCAGCTAGTATCACCTGCAGCACTAGGCATGAAAGGCAGGTGCAGAGGACATCCTTGCCAGAATATACGTATTAGTAATATAATCATCCATGTAGAACACATCATGATTTTGTCTAATACCTATTTTTTGGAATCCAGGAACTAAATAACATGTACAATGGATAAGAATTATTTAATGCAGCATAAGCCAATGGACAAAAGAAATGCTCTATCCTCAGCTGAGATTATACATAAGAGAATCTTGAGCAACATTTAAATAAATACTGAAAAGTTCGAGTACAATAGAAATGTTGGAAAAGTTAGATCTGAAATTATCATAATGTGTGACATACCATTTTGTACAATCCAAATGCTGCACCCTTTAGATATCCTAAAACAACCATTGAATCAGAATAATATTAGATCAGAAGACAGATTTGATATATCAAGTATGGTACACGGATAACAGCACAGATACATATATATGATATATATGTAGCTGTGGTTCATAATAAACCATAACACTAGTTAATAAACAACTCTAACTCCAACATTCAGGAAGAATTTACACATATGTTCAAAAAGTTGATAATAATTTAGAAAGAAAGAAATTTGATACCAGTTGTCATTCTAAATCTAGCCATTGATTACAAACATGGTATTAATCGATCAGATTTGAGCCTATGGTTTTCAGCAAGTTTTTGTTCAGTTTGTATGGTGTTCTCCTATTAGCTTGGGAATTCATCACAACTTCGATCCTTATTTCTAGTGGCTACTTCAGAAGACCAATATATTTCACCCCAAGAAAATCATGTAGAAACCACCCCTTCGAAATCCATAATTATAGAAACTCTTTTCATTAAATCCAATGTTCATTGTATTTACAATAAAATCTAACAATCGGAAAAAGTCTGCAACTCCTTGGCAGTGCTACTTAATGATGAAAAAGTCCCCTTTCAACCCAAACTTTAGATCTAATATAAGCCATTATGTTACTATGAAAATAAATATAAAATAAAAACATATGAGCAATCATGCTGAGTAGGAACCATTGAAAATCATAAAATCACTATTCAATACTCATGAAACACATTCAAATAATTTTCATTGGCATTTCATCTAACATGAAAATGTCTAAAATGAAAAAACATCAATTCATCATAAAGCTCATGAATCAAATAAACAATAGTAATTCTTATGCAGTAGACAAAATCATGCATCAGTCACATGCAACACATCTCAATAACATATGATTTCCCACCTATGTTTTGTATTTGAGTGAGGAACTGTCTTCTGTTTGAAGGAACTTTACAGATGATAAATAAATTGCTAATGACATATTAGTTTTGCATTCTTCACCCATTGGCTTGAGTACCCACTTTCCTCTTCATCTCTCCATCTTCTAATCTATTTTACTCTTTTCTAGTTGTTGTTAGATCATTATTGTAAGAATATGGTGGTTGTTTCTGAAGACTACCACAAACTTTTTGGTAGATTTTGAGATTCTACAGGATTAATCTGACAATGAAAAGGTCAGGATCCATTAACGAATAAAGAACAGATAAATCCGGTTGTATGAGGTGCACATACCATACGTATCCTATAAGCGTCTGATTTTTTTACTAGGTATGTGCAAAATTGATTACTTGAAATAAGTATGAAACAAGTACCTAAATAGATGACATTGTTAGCCAGCACATATCCAATATAGGGAAGAACTTTCAGACTACCAATATTTAAGCCAACACTAGCAATCAATTAACTTCAGCATAACTCTGGTGTTTCGCAAGTAACATTCAAAGGTTGTAAAAATATAAGATACTCTGTTTTGTTCTCCACTGATAGTGCTATATACATAAAGATAAATATACATTTAGGACAGACATATTTATTACTTGTAAATGTACAATTTGGTATATAAAAAAGGCATATTATCCTATCATACTAAGCAACTTAATTCAATTCAGCAACTAAATCCTGATATATTGCAAGTCACCACAGCCAAATTATTTTCTAAATAACTGTGTAACTGACTGTGACAAGTAATGCACGAGTCACCCATGAACCAACAGCTTGTGTCCACTTTTTCTCCTCAATCCTTCATGCTTCCCAACCAGTGCACCTCTAACCACACAAGCAAACCAAATTGAAGGCCTCAGTTGGCCAAACTTTAGTAAAATTTCCATCTGCTAAATTATCTTTCCCAGCATACAGTGGCCTCAAGAATATGCAAATTCTAAAAACCTTTGCGCATCTCAATAGGACAATTCAAATGGTTCTTTTCTACCTGAAAACTCTCCCTCCGTTTCTCACCATGCAACATCAAAAAGACAAATGCCAAAACTATATATCAGAGGGCGTTAATAACATATTTTGCACATTAAAACCATAGCCTGACTAAAATTTACATAAAACCTAAAGGGATCTAGTACACTTCTAATCAGAATCCTCATGATCAAAGTGTACAAACACCTTAATCTACAATAAGCAAGTGTCCATTCTCGTTGAGTAACTGTTAATGTTATGCGAATTCCAAGCCGAAGTAACAACGACCTACGCATAAGCATGAAAAATATCCACATATAGGCACCAACAATACGCAAACATATATCATATGAACCCTAAATGAAATGCTTTTCTGGTTCTGCAGTTGGAGATAGTAAGGCGTTGCTCTAGACGTAGTTGACATAAAGGGTTTTAGTTAGTAGATGAAAACGTGATTTCAAGATAAATCTCCCGATTCCACTGACTTCAACCTAATCGCAGGCCTATGCACCTAATTAGGTTTCATCTTGAATCACCTCCTCTACATGTCGCTTGTCACCGACGAAGCAAACATCTACCGAGACCTAACCCTAAATCAAGATAAAATCAAGAATCGGAGGCACCAAACTCTCGACCAAATACGTGATCTTCTAGCGAAAATTCGGGAATAGAAGAACACCAAATCGAAATCATCAGCAATAGGTACCCAACTTCGACGTAGGTGACGCACAGAGAGAGAGAGAGATACCGGAAACACAGCGGGAAGAGACGGGGGCGAGCGATGGAATGCATGGGGGGGAGGAGTAGGACAGATTATATAAGGGTTGAAGCACGTCGAAACCGAGTCCGAGAAGGAAAGTTTCGCAACGAGTCGGGCTGGGCATCGACGGCCTCTTTCTTATTGTCAGAGACGGAACCAAACGAAACATACATTAAGTATGACAAGAGACGCTTTTTCGAATGTCGATATAAACACATTACCGGTCGGCTGCGGAGGAGGAGGAGCGACGCGGTTGAACCGGTACTGTTCTAAATCGGTTCGATGAACCGGTTCACTGTTCTAAACCGGTTCAAAGATTTCTGAAATAAAAAAAAGCTCCTGAATAAATTCTCAATAAGATGGTACCATATAAACAAGGAGAAATCGGTACCATCCGATACGAACAGTATATACCGGTATGATGATATACTGGTACGTAAACCCTCCGCTATCGAACTGACCATGCTACATTGCTACAGTATATATACTGTAGCAGCGCTACGGTGTTACTGTAGCAGCACAGTAAAAAGAAATCGTTCGATAAACCCCGGTGTATTGCTCGGCAAGTCAGTACCATACCGAGCCAATCTCGAAATACTGATATTGCATATCTACCTTGTTAAATAGTAAGATTTTTTTTTTGGGTAAATTATCTTGATAATAAAAATAATTAAATATGAATATAATGATCTTAGATTAAACTTATGCAAAAGGGGTTTTCTAACATTTACAGAAGATTCTTTGTATTATTGTACTTATTAGAACATTTACCATTTATAATAGATTCTTTTTATTATTGTACTTCTCATAGTATTAGCATATTCTTTGCTAGGTTAAACCCCAAATAAACCTGAGTTAAGTTATACAACTAGAGAATTAGTACTTAATACTTAGCCACATGCACAAATCAATCAACCTAACTTGGGTCATACTCAAAATTAAATTTTAATATATTTAGAAGTATCTTAAAATATTATAAAATAATAATTAACCCCAATTTTTCTAATGAAATAACTAATTTAAATTCATGATTCTAAAATTAAAACTAATTAAATCATAAAATGAAACATAAATATGTCTAAATAATAAATTAAAATTATTATTAATATTAATTTAACTAATCATCCTAACATCATAATTCATTATTTATTAATCATAAAAATTTAAAATTAAAATAATTATTATACATCATACAAATTATAATAATTCTAATATCAAATATTTTAAATAAAAATATGTAAGTAAATAGTAGAGTATCATGTCTCTCCTCGGGAAATCCTCTCCTCGACCGAGAACATTAAGCTTTCTCCGAAAGATAAGTAGTAATTTTTGTTTATTTTAAATTCATATTTATTTTGCTTGCACATATAAATATAGAATTATAACATTTATTTTTTATGGTTCACACACAAAAATATAATTTAAGCTATTTACTTTCTAAAAATCATATCACACATTAGAAAATAAATTAATTAATTAATTAATACATAAATTAATTAATAAAAAAATTAACTTATTCGTATGATTAAGGAAATTGATTTTAATTATTTTCTTAATCATACTATATAAATAAGGAAGCTAATAATTTAAATAAAGTAATACATTATATATAAAAACATTTACCATTTATGATATATTCTTCTTATTATTGTACTTCTCATAGAGTCAGCGTAGTCGAACCCCAAATAAACCTGAGTCAAGTTACACAACTAGAGAACTAGTACTAGATCGATAGATAGTTTGGGTTTTGATTGCTAATTGGCTCCATTTATCTTCATTCCTTCTTCTTCGCTAGAAATGTGCCTCATCATAAAGTTAGAATCAAGATAAAGAATAAAGATGGGTGACCGACCAACCCTAGCCGAACTACGAGATACCCTCTACTTCCAATCAAATGCTTAGTTCCTAACCAAAAGGAAAATGTTCATAGATTGTGTTGGAATGGTACAAGTTTTCTTTTGTATAAAATATATTCTAACTTTATTCCTTTAATATTTTATTAAAAGTATCAAAGTAAAGCATAAATGTGATGATCAAACTTAGCTCGATCAGCTTCCGATAAAAGAATCAAAATATCAAATCCTTATTATAAGCCCACTTAATTCAGCTATGTGAGCTTAAGAAAACGAAGATGGAAAGTGTCATGAATCCAAATGTAAGCATTTAAATGGCTTATACTTGTAGCTTTATACTCCGTTGATAAGATCATTTAGTCTCACATTGGTTGAGAATTATAGGAATCAAGAGCTCATAAGTCCGCTTGATCTCCCTTACTCTCAGAAGTGTTTTTTGGAGTTCACAAGTTCCGAAAGGATAAAACCCTTTGGTGCTCAATCCAAATCACCCAAAGTAAACAATTCCTCGCGCACCTACAAGCTGCACCAAAAGTTTATGATGTGCAAGACTTACTCTTATAAACAGTGATGCCTTACACTAAAAGACTTGCTCTTGTCCTTCTGGTTTATGGTGTGTTGTCCCTTGGCGTCGAAGAAGAGCCCAACGATGGATAGGCGACCAGAACAAGGAAGCATCTGCATTCGGCCGCCGCTCGTCCATCCTCTTCACATGCATATATGCCTCTTTTCCTCTGGAGAGAGAGAGAGAGAGAGAGGTATCAGTCGGCGAGACGGTGCAAACACGTTCAGCGCTCAGCATCAAACTACGAAGGTAGACTCGATCCCGTCTTGTCTCAAGAGGAAAAGAAGGAATAGTAGATCCTCTTCTTGTCTCAAGATGGGCGAGAGATCAAAGATCCTTCACTCAGTAGCATGCTGGGCTATCATCTTCAGATGCAGCAGGAACAAGTAACACGAGTAAACTCACCTCTCGCCGCAACAGGAATAGAATAAGAGAGAGAGAATTCCTTCGTCCGACATATCACGCTCTCTTTCGGCTCTTCACATGCAGCAGGAAGAAGCTGCAGACATAGACACTCTTCTCCTCTCCAAAGGAAAAGAACACGAGAGAGGAAGCAGCTTCTGGTGCAGGCTCCTCGCTAAAAAATTGAATAGGTCATGCATGCTATGGAGAGTACATGTGACTCCGTGTAACCTTGTCGTGGGGGTTCCACATGTCATGCATGTGGGACTGTCTTGTCACTTTGACTTATCGTTGACTCATGGAAATGCATTCGTGAAATTATTCTTATTAGGATCATTAAAATCAAATTAATAGTAAATTTTTGATGGTATGGATCTCCTATGATTTAGATCATACGCCGCACAATTAATTGAGGAGGAGGGTAAGGGTGCCGTCCTCCACCACGAGAGAATGGGTGCCGTTGTTTTGTGACGTCGATCTGCGGATTTTGATGACATGGCGACATCAGGGCCGTCGAAGACTGCGTTTGTCTTACTCCCTGCTCGTCTCCGTCACGCTTTGCGGCGACGCCCACAACACACCGTGATATTTTCACAAGACGAACCCAGAAGGTCCCCCCTGGCCGGCCCCACCTCGCACGGACACGCGGCAACTCGACGCGGTCAGGCCCGAATCCGAGCCTGAGCGATATATCCCCCCGAGAAATTTGGATCAGGAAGCGTGCGTTACATCGGTCCTCGAGATTCCTCCACGTCACCACCGTTTCCTTTAGGCCACAATACAAAACGGAGACGGACTAAACCGTTATATTTCTCCGCCCGCCTATATAAACCCTTCTCGCATCGCCTTCAACCCTCGCCCCCCCTTCCCCCTCCTATCTTTCTCTCTCTCCTGTTTGTATCGTCCCCCTCTTTCCCGCTAGGGTTCCGTCCCTCCTTACCGCCCCTACCTTACCTCTTTGCCTCCCTTGATCCGTGGTTGCGGACGGATCGGCGGTGAGTGGTGCTGTGGATCTCTGCCTTGCTCCGACGCTTGCGTGCCCTTCGATCTTTGATCGGTTTCTTCTCCTCCGCCGTCTTCTGAAGGGCCGGCGTGGGGATTCCGGGATCGTCTGAGGGTGCGCTAGGTTTCTTATTCTCCGTACCCGATCCTTCTTGCTTCGTTTGGGGGGGTGGCCGGGGCTCCGGCCTCGGCGGCTTGCAAAGCCCCCATCCTGACATAGAGATCTGAGGAAGTAGGGCTTTCCCCTTTGTTTGTGGCCGCGACCGGGGAGAGATGCCGGCCTTGGCGTGCGTAGAAGCCGCAGCGCCCCATCCTGGCTACGGCTTCGAGTGGGACGGCGCTCTTCCAGCGCCGGGTGCGTACCCCCGCGGTGCTTCGACGACGGAGGGCGGTGGCGACCTGACCGCTGCAGAGTACCCCTCCCCCTGGTCTACCGACCTTTCCGCCGCACTCTACCGTATTGACGGATGGGGCGCGCCTTATTTCTGTGTCAACGCTGCCGGCGACATCGCCGTCCGCTCCTACGGTGCCGCCACCGTCTCCCACCAGGAGATAGACCTGATGAAGGTGGTGAAGAAGGCATCCGACCCCAAGGCCGCTGGCGGGCTCGGCCTCCGCCTCCCGCTGCTCGTCCGCTTTCCCGACATCCTGAAGCACCGTCTGGAGTCCCTGCATGCCGCCTTTGACTTTGCTATCCGGTCCAACAGCTATGGTGCCTGCTACCAGGGCGTCTATCCAGTCAAGTGCAACCAGGATCGGTATATCGTGGAGGACATCATGGAGTTTGGGTTGCCGTTCGACTTCGGCCTCGAGGCCGGATCGAAAGCCGAGCTCCTCCTTGCCATGAGCTGCCTCACGAGGGCGAGCCGGAAGGCATTGCTTATCTGCAATGGGTTCAAGGACGAAGAGTACATTGCTCTCGCCGTCGTAGCCCGGAGAATGGATATGAACACGGTGATTGTTCTGGAGCAGGCGGAGGAGCTCGACACGGTGGTCGAGACCAGTCAGAGGCTCGGCATCCGGCCAGTGATTGGTCTTCGGGCCAAGCTTCGCACCAAACATTCTGGTCATTTCGGGGCCACCTCCGGCGAGAAGGGCAAGTTCGGGCTGACCACCGCCCAGATTCTATCTGTTGCTCAGAAGCTCCAGCGCCTCCAGATGCTCGATTGTCTCCAGCTTCTGCATTTTCATATTGGCTCTCAGATTCCATCCACGGCGCTGCTCTCCGATGGGGTTGGCGAGGCTGCTCAAATCTATTGCGAGCTCGCGAGGCTAGGAGCCGCGATGCGTGTCATCGACGTCGGCGGTGGGCTCGGCATTGATTACGATGGCTCTCGATCTGGTGGATCGGACATGTCGGTTGGCTACGGCCTCCATGACTATGCCAGCGCTGTAGTTCGGGCGGTGATGTTCGCCTGTGACAGGAAGCATGTGCGTCACCCGATCATTTGCAGCGAGAGCGGTCGGGCTCTCGTGTCTCACCACTCGGTGCTTATCTTTGAAGCGGTGTCATCCACTACAACCAAGGCCGAGCCACTGTCGTCCATCGGCCCCAACTTTGCGTCCCTTCTGGAGGAGCTTGCGGATGATGCTCGTTCTGATTACCACAACTTGAGGGCGGCTGCCTACCTCGGCGAGTACGAGACCTGTGCTCTGTATGCTGATCAGTTGAAGCGGACGTCCATCGACCATTTTAAGGACGGCATGCTTGGCCTCGAGCATCTGGCGGCTGTTGATGGTCTCTGCGAGCTGGTTGCGCAGGAGCTGGGGGTTGCTGATCCGGTGAAGACGTACCATGTCAACCTCTCAATTTTCACCTCGATGCCTGATTTCTGGGCTATTGGACAGCTCTTCCCTATAATCCCAATCCATCATCTCGACCAGCGGCCAGGAGTTAAGGGGATTCTATCTGACCTGACATGCGACAGCGACGGGAAGGTCGACCGGTTCATCGGCGGGCAGTCGAGCCTCCCATTGCATGAGCTCGGGAGAGGAGGTGTAGGGGGTGGCGGATACTACCTGGGGATGTTTCTTGGCGGGGCTTACCAGGAGGCGCTCGGGGGGCTGCATAACCTGTTCGGGGGGCCGAGCGTTGTGCGGGTGTCGCAGAGCGAGGGCCCGCACGGCTTCGCGGTGACGCTGGCGGCGCCTGGCCCCTCGTGCGCGGACGTCCTGCGAGCGATGCAGCATGAGCCGGAAGTGATGTTCGAGTCGCTCAAGCACCGCGCGGAGGAGTGCTCGGCCGGGGACGCCGTGTCGTGCGCCGTCGCCCGCGCCTTTGACTCCATGCCGTACTTGGTCCACTCCCGCGCCGACCCTGTCTGCGCTAGCGACGGGGATCGCACGGATGGGATGGGCGGCGACTCGGAAGGATGCGGCTGCTGCGTGTGCGGCGAGGAGGAAGGCGAGGAGTGGACGTTCATGCGGTGCTTGAGCGTGTGAAGGGGGCTTGGCGGACAAGGTAACGTCTACTACATGCTGCTGCCGTTCTATTCTATGCTTTTCTTTCCTTTATATCGTACTCGTCAGTGCATTAGATTCCAATATCAGCTACGATTTAGGTGATGGTGATGTCCTCTGCCCTCTCGAGAGTAGAGAAGGCGGGGGCGCATCCTCGTTTTATTGTTGCTGCTGCAGCTGCTTTTTTATTCGATCCAAATTAAGAGGTGCCTGACTTGTATTAGGTATGAGCATCTAGCTTTCTGCTGTTTCTGCTTTCCGCAGCCCTGTTAGACTTGGTTTTGTTTTGGTGGGGGACACTGTTGGTTTTATTCGAGCCATTCTATGGATTTGAAGGACCCAACGCTCCATAATTTGTCATCATTACGGAAACTGGGGTAGGATATAATCGATCAAATTTAAATTCAAAATGAAAAGATATTTGAGATAATTAACTAGAGTTCACTTTTTTTTTTTGGGTCCAAATAAGAAGAAGATATAATTAAAGATAGCACAGCGAGTACAAGGTTCCCTAACAGCATCAGCGAGTACAAGTGGTTTGAGAGGTTATTGGTGTGGTTGACCATCAAATTGATAACCATGTTAGATTCTCTATAAGCATGCTTTACTCTGACAGCATAAAAAGAAAAAAACTGTTCTTCAAGGCTCTTCACAGTACTCCGCGGACTGCTTTACCATAGACCTACTGTAGCAATAGAACCAGTAGAATCTCGAATTAACATAGCTATCCATGTTTAGTTTAAACCATTTAGCTTCAGGTTTTGTCCACATAACACTATTGAATGTTGCCTCATTTCTAGCCTACCATAGTAGCCATACAACCTCTTAAGGATCATTGGATGTTCAAACTATAGTCAACTTGTTGTGCCAGTAACTGGCAGCTTCGATTGGTGTACGTAGTGGGAAGAATGTAAAACAACAGGCTGAAAACACACCAAATTAGCCTGTCATGTGATGCTCGACCAAGCCCGATGGACCAGCTCACAAAATAATGGCCTAGAGCAGGAAAATGAAAACTTGGTTGGGCCGGGCTTGGGTGAAGAAGAAGCTTATCAGTTCCGTGCAGCTGAGAACAAAGCAAGCCCAACCGGCCTTATGAAGATATAGAGCAATTCATGTGCGGTATGTATGTCCACTTATTACTTAAGCAGTTTTACCGAAAGAAAGAGTAAACAGGCCTCTGTTCACAATCTGCCATAATGCTGGTACGTAAACAAATAAATTTAGCCAGTACTGATAATGGTATTAAATGGCCTATCATCACACCATTAAAATCAGTGGTCCAAAGGAGAGCAATGCTTTGTCGGAAGTTAGAATGTAGTTAGCATGTAAGGGATGCTACAATGTTGAGAAACACAATGGGTCTTCTCTTTCGTTCAGTGATCAATATTTTCATCTCAGGGAGTTACACAAGTTCTTGCTGCTTAGCTCAGCCAGTAGATGGGAACCCCTTCTTAAATCGATTAGCATCATTTAGTTGACAACATCGATCACCACAGTGTGTGGTTTACTGAAACTTCCACTTCATCAAACTGTTCTACCATTTAGGGTCCCCATAAGAAAGAACAGTGGAGCAGTTGCATGCACCGTCATTTGGATTCATGACAGTGATTCGACATGGTCCCGGTGATAACAATGCCAGACAAAGCTCTCTACGCTCTGCATCTCACATCTATGATCTGTTTGACAGTAGCGTTGCCCCCCCAGAATAATTAGCACATGGCTACAGACTTAACAGAAGCTTTGGATGGCGGCTTGACGGATTTAAACAGATCCATTAATTGTTAGAGGAATCGATGAAAAGGAAAGAGAGGTTAATGTCACATGGCTTGGAAGATGGGAGTACAATAATTCAGTGCAATATGTTCAAAACAGGTAGGTAGGTGACGTGAATGGAGGATTGATATGTGCAAGTCTTTATGATACTGATAGTCATAGGCATCTATCTTTAATCAACAGGGAATAATCTTTAACCATATGAATCTTTATAATTGTTATTCCACTGATTGAACAGAGTGTGTGTTTATTTTGCAGCAGAAATAATAAATCAGTGACGTTTTCTTTGGTGATTTTTCTATTTGAGAAAGTCCTCATCAGATTATAATCAATCAAGAACAATAATAATATGATAATTTTATCTTAAAATGCTAATCTGACATTTAATTCAAGTTGCTTTAGCAACGTAATCAAACATAAATAAATATAATTTTTTTTTATATTGCCGAGCCAGCATCCTATTTCATTTTAATTACAGGTTAGAGCATTAAATAGGAAAAATCATAACTTATATGTTTACTTTCTTATCTCTCTTTCTAGCTACATATCTTTGTTTGATATTGTATATTCTTCTTGTGTCGGAGCATCCTCTTGGTAAGTTTTCTCACAAACGCCAACATGAGACGAGGGATTATGCTTAGGATAGTGATCATGTGTGATTTTTTTAAATATTTATAAGTTATATTTTTTAATAATATTTTACCTTTTTTGTTAGAAGGAATAATAATGTTATAAAATGGGATAGAAGTTAGAAAATAGAGGCAAGATATGCTTAATTTAGGAGTATGATCATTGTCAAGGAGTATAAATTGTTTAACCTCGAGGAGTATGATCATTGTCCTAAGTATATTCTCTCCGTCTCATGGTGATATTTCTGAAGGAAAATTGCTCAAGATATAGTCGGAATGTAGATTCTATATTGCGGCTTAATTTAGGAGTTGTAGCTGAAAAGAGAGACAAGAGAAAAAGAAAAAAAACACAATTGAGTTGTATTTTTTGTCATTAAAAAAAAGAGGGTTACGGTAAACTTATATAATTTATGGTTTCCCATTTAATGCTTTAACAATCTCCAATAAACTTATAATGAAATAAAGATGATTCTATGTACTTTAAACCTGAAGAACTCAATGGAATAGGTTTTGCTATGTGGCTTGAACAGTTATATCTGCAGTAGAAAATTACCTCCACTTCTTTGTTCTTCTCTGATAAATCTCTCCAGGAGATAAGCATATATGATTTGTGTTGAGCACGAAGAGATGTTAATCATCGTCCTTAATCTAGTTTGGCAACGTTAGCTAGCCTTCTTCTATATAAAGTTCTCAACTTGTTTGGTTTAAGCTTCAGTTGAATCAAGCTTGTTTAGGGCTCTAACAGTTATGTAGAAGACCACAAAGTTGACTCGTGATTACATTGACCTTTACCGTGTATGACACGACGTATGAACCATCAAATTAAGTGAAATAAAAGACTCGAGCTACGTACGTACATTAGTAGGTTTGGTGTCAAAACTCTTCTCATATCTTAATGCTGCGTTCTGAGAAGTCAATGCATTCACATGCTGTACGAAGCACTTGCATCGTAGGAACCTTTCTTTATCGTGAAATGGGACCCAAATGTCCGATTTTTGTCTTAGCTTCAAACATCGTTATCATTCATGCTTTGTAGCCGAATTCCATCTCGTATGGAACCCAGATTTCACTGCAGTAGCTACAGAATCAATCTAGTCGACCTTTTTCTTTTAGCCAATCAATCTCATCTTGTTCGATCGATCGATCGTCATTGCCTGGTAGAAACTGGCTAATCCAGGCGGGACCATGTCTTTCCTTCCTCTCTCGTCCACCCTATCTATGCACTTTCCCCATCCTAATGAATTCCCTGCACCACCACAATCTTCATTGTTTTTACGACCAGTACGTGAACTCAACAACGTGTATGTCGTGCTCTCATCTCATGCAAATTCTAAGTTCGTGCATGTATGCATCTCATTCCCCTTTTAAAAAGGTAAGCGAGGAGAGGTAGCAAGACGGACCAGAGAGCAGTGAGCTGCTGGCTCGTACTTGCTTTGCTGTTGTAGACATGAATCGCTCGGTTGCATGTCCTTTCCTCCTCTTCTTCCTCTGCCTTGCTACCGCTTCCGGAGGAGGGCAATGGGAGCTTCTCCAACCCAGCATCGGCGTGTCGGCGATGCACATGCAGCTGTTGTCCAACGACCGCGTCATCGTCTTCGACCGCACCGACTTTGGCCCCTCCAACCTCTCCCTCCCCGGCGGCCGCTGCCGGAACGACCCCCGCGACTGGACCCTCACCGTCGACTGCACCGCCCACGCCGCCGAGTACGACGTGCCCTCCAACGCCGTCCGCCCGCTCACCGTCCTCACCGACCCCTGGTGCTCCTCCGGCACCGTCTCCCCCGACGGCCGCTTGATCCAGACCGGCGGCGCGAACGATGGCGAGCGCGCCGTCCGATACCTTGACCCCTGCCACGACCGCCTGTGCGACTGGGAGGAGGACGCGGCGGGCCTCGCGGCGCCGCGGTGGTACGCCACCAACCACGTCCTCCCCGACGGCCGCGCCGTCGTGGTCGGTGGCCGGTCGCAGCACAACTACGAGTTCGTTCCCAAGCTCGGCGCGGCCGACGCGGGCGCCGTCAGCCTGCCTTTCCTCCGAGAGACGCGCGACGCCGAGTACAACAACCTCTACCCCTTCGTCTACCTCAACGTCGACGGCAATCTCTTCGTCTTCGCCAACAACCGCGCCATCCTGCTCGACTACAAAACCAACAGCATCGTGAGGACGTACCCCACCGTGCCCGACGGCCACCCTCGCAACTACCCAAGCACCGGATCCTCCGTCCTCCTCCCGCTTCAGCCATCGGGCTCTGAAGCGGAGGTGCTGATCTGCGGTGGAGCACCCGAGGGCTCGTTCACGAAAGCCTCGACGCAGAAGGTGTTCGTGGGGGCTCTGAACACGTGCTTAAGGATCCGCATCAACGATCCCTCGCCGTCGTGGTCCGTGGAGACGATGCCGACGCCGAGGGTCATGGGCGACATGATCCTGCTCCCCAGCGGCGACGAGGTGCTCATCATCAACGGCGCAGCGGCTGGGAGCTCGGGGTGGGAACTCGGACGGGAGCCAGTCTTAACGCCTGTCAGCTACCGTCACGGCAGCCCGGCCGGCAGCCGCTTCGACGTGAAAACCCCGGCCACCATCCCCCGAATGTACCACTCCACCGCCATCCTGCTGCGCGATGGCCGGGTGCTCGTCGGCGGGAGCAACCCTCACGCGTTCTACAACTTCACCGGGGTCGACTTCCCGACGGACCTCAGCCTGGAGGCCTACTCACCGGCCTACCTGGAAGCAGCGAACTCCAACGCGCGACCCACGGTCACCTGGGCCGGTACTCCGGTGGAGTTGAACTACGCGAAGCCGTTCAGCCTGCGGTTCTCTGTGGCGGCCATGAGCGAGAAGGGCGTCCTGGTGACGATGGTGGCGCCGTCGTTCGCGACGCACTCCTTCTCCATGAACCAGAGGCTGCTGATCCTGGAGAGCGAACTGGCCGCGGCGGCCGACGCGGAGTCGTCACTGTACGTGGTGGATGCGATGGCGCCAAGCTCAACTTTCATGGCGCCGCCAGGCTATTATATGGTGTTCGTCGTCAACGGAGGGATCCCAAGCGAGGGAGTTTGGGTCCACATCCAACACTAGAAGGAAGCCATAGTGTGGAACGTCTGGAGGTGCGACGTCTGTTACTGTTGACATGAGTCGTCTTGTAGCCACCGACACTTGCGGATGGAATGCAGTGTCCGCTTGACGACGCCGGTGTTCTGGGCCGAGTTCTTCGTTGGACTCGGACGGGTCTTCATCTTTTGGTCGCATTGGGGACAGGACCCCCCGAAACAGTGCCTAAAGATTCGTGCGTCGTGGTTGATCCGTCTGCTGGGGCCTACAGGGAAAGTTGCATGCACACGGGGCCCACAAAAATGCCTAAGCAACGATTGGACAGATTGATCCAGTAGATATTCCTCGGGTCGGGTCCTGCCGAAGGCACCCCCGCGAGGCCCACCCGCTTCGGCTACCACCGGGGACCCACGCCCTTCGTTCGTCCTAAGGGGCCCACAGGAAATGCAAACTGGGGATCTAATGACGGATTTAAAGAAAACGTATGTACATCTTAGACGATGCTAAGGAATATCCCTATATATTTCAATTATACATTTGAGTAGAATTAAGAGAAATCGAAGGACCCGAATGAATAATTAAAATTTATATTAATATATTAATATCATAAGGAGGGTTTATGTGGTAAGAGAATTATATTGAAATTTGTTATGAATATCATAACATCGATGCTAAACCTAAGCTTTAAGATCGAGTTATGTAAGAGTAACTAAAGGAAACTCTTTTTTTTTTTTTTGATCCCTTCAACTTTTGATCTTGTTTTGATATTCAAACATCATCTATTGAATTCGATCATCTTTGGATACCAAACTTTCGATAAATAGAGTTGGACTCAAAAGATCGATCCATTCACATATCATATTAGATATTCAAAATCTAACTTAATTTATACGAGAAATAGGCTAAAACTTCGTGTAATGGTTAAGAATACCCTACGCTATTGATGCGAAGCTCCACGTACATGTTAGAATTAAAAAATATTTTTTTATTATGCCCAAATCTTTTATCATGATTTGAGGATAACCAAATGAGCTGTGTAGATCATTATATCATTCGTTGGTGTAAAGTAATGTTACTGACTAAAATACTTAAGCTGAAGTTAATAGTAATACACTCATCAAACTCTTATAAGTAAATATTAATTTTGTCCATTTTCGATATACAAAGGTTTGACGTGACCTGAGCCTGATGGGCTAACTAACCTATCAACTTCGTAAACAATTGATCAAAATGGTTAAGTTAAAGTTAATTTTAATAATACATTCATCAGACTCTTATAAGTCGTCGTGGGACTAACGGGGTGTTACAACCTGACCGTTAACTGTTTTGTCCATTCAAAAGTTTGCTCGACTCTCAACTTTTTTTTTTTTTGTCGATTCAACAAATGGTCAACATAGATGGTTATGATTAGATGTAGAATATTAGGTGTAAGGGTTAATGTATGAATCATCAGATCAAATCAAATCAAATCGGATTTAGAAGTGCAACTAAGAAACTAACAAAGGTCGGATGACTGCAGATGACTCTAAAGCATCTCTTTTATCTCTAATGAGAACGAATCGAATTATCCTTTTTATCTCATCTTTTATATCCCACAGGATCAAATATAATCATGAAACATCTTTTATCTCTTATATAGCTGAATCTGTTGATGATAAAGCATCATTTATCTCTAACACGATTCAATCATTCCTATCTCATTCCAATTATACGACAAAACATGTGTCAAAACATAATCATAGATAAATGTTAAGGAGATATAACTTACAAACTCATCGACACCTATGTAGACATTCCATCACCTTAACATGTCAACTCGGTATGACAGAGTTAATTGCAACTCTCGATCATTCGACCGATTAATTCTCTTCATAGATTAATTATTCACTTATTCTTGGCGACTCTTATCCAACTCTTGGAACCTTTGAATCTTATATTTCTTTTATTATTTTCTCGACTCTAACTTAAGGATCGAAAAGAATTTTCTCGGTCACCCCTAACTTAAATTTTGTTGAACACACATTTTTTAATGCCAAGTTTATAATAGGCTCAAATTCGACTGTAACTTATGCATCTAAAGAAATTTACTATGTTCATAATAAACTCAAATTCGAATGAAGGTGGGTGCAGTCAAAACCTGTTCAAATGACACTATGTAGTCAACTACTTTTTGAATCACATAACACTTGATTCAATCAGCTTTGCATCAAAAACAAGAAAAAGGTTTAAGGAGAAAGCAAAAAACCAAATACCTACAATTGTGATATATAAACAGTCCCAACCACTACAAATTTCTTGAAAGAGAAGATAAATATCATGTGAACAGGTCATAAGATAACAGACACCGTTTTTCTATATATATTTTGTTCTACAACATAACATATCATTTACAAAACACATCGATATTCATCGAAACAATCCACCAGCTCACAATTAAGTTATATTTTTTAGTAGAATATATAGCAACTGTAGTCACATTGTTGTAGAGTCAAATGTTATATATATATATATATATATATATATATATATATATATATATATATATATATATATATATATATATATCAAGTCGCATGATCACATCTCACTTCACGCAGCATCTTAAACGATGGAACACGAAGCAGACCAAAACGGCATGATTTCCTCTTTCAGTGAATGCTAGCATTTGCTTGATTCTAGCTTAGCAGAAACGTCGTTCTGTTGTTGCTGTGGTGCTGGCAATTGAAGAGAAGTCTCGGCAGTTTGCTGCTTCTGTTGTTGCTGATGCGGCTGCAACTGATGCAATTGAGACATCCGAGGATTCAGTTGCATCTGCTGATTTATACTCTTTGAGAGCTGAGCCTCGCTGATCTCTCCAGTAGCGAGTTTTAGACGCTGGACTTCTGCACTCAGTGCCTCATTCAGGGCTGTATCATATGTGATTGTTATAGCAAGCACTAAAATGAACTAGCGAAAGATAAGCAAAGAGAGAAGAGCAGAACTAAGTTGGATCCAAACAGAATAAAACTTTGTAAAGGTCTAAGTGGTCCTCTAAACATATTGGAAATCAAACGCAACATAGACCGGAGAACTCATAAGATGTATCAATATAAAACAACTAAAAAATGAAATAAAAAATAATTAGCTACCAATACCACTGTATGTCAGTAACAAATTCATTTACCAAGTGCAGTATCAAATTTTCATTGCATGTAGGTTTATGAAATCCTTGATGAACATAGAAGGAACAACTCGTGTTTCAGTAAAAGACACCAGTTCAAAATTAAAACACATTTTAGTAGAAAAGAAGTGACAGACCAATTTGCATGGACTGCCGTACCACCCAAAATTGTACAAAATAGAATGGTCTGATGGCTGGCTAAGACATGCACCAGCCTGTTTCGGCCCGTACACAGAAAATGTGTTCGACCATTACCAATCAGATTTTGACCGTACCAAGCTGAGATTCATCGACACCAGCCTCTCCAATTGAAGATATTTAGCTTCTGTGTTTTCTTTATCTAAGCATAAATAATATTGATAAATATTGATTGATTAGGGACTAATTAATTAACTAAGACCTAACTATAGGTATTTAAGAAAAATATATTATATTGACCATGTATTTGACTTCTTGCATTATTTATGAGCTAATTCTACCATGTTTGATGGATAAAACATGGATAATTGGATCTTACTAATTCATGCTTAGGTAGATTATGCATGATTTAGACCTAATGAGTGGTAATTAAAAAAATTAAGCATATTGCACCATGTTTCAACTTCATTCTACCATGTATTGCAGCTAATTAGAGGCTTATTATTGCATAATTAAGAAGTATAATCATAATTAACATGAAATTAGGATCATTCTCTTAAGTTAAGACCAAAATAGGGGTACGTAGGGGTATTTATGAAATTTTTGGTGGATTAAGAGTTTATTCTTAATTAAAGGTGATTAAAGGCTAACTAGAGCTAATTAGTGTGACTTCTTACCTTTAGACCAAACTAGGAGCCATTAGGGATAATTTAGGGCTAATCACAGTATGCTTATTGTTGTTTGATTATGATATTTATGATGGATTAAGGCTAATTAGAGCTAGGATCTTCTTCTTTGATTTAAACCAAATAGGCATAACTAAAGGTGACTTATTCTATTAAATCTTTTTGTAAGAAAATTACCCCAAACAACAACCAAGTGATCCAACATAGTGTCACGGCCTTAGCTAGAATTGCCTTAGACGCGAGGCACCCTTGTGGCCAAGACACGAACTTAGCTTGCGTTGCCTAAGTCGCGAGGCACCATTGCGGCAAAGACGCGAACTTAGCTTGCCTTGCCTAAGTCGCGCTTCGCCCTTGCGATATTGCTCCGCAAAGATTAGCCCACTTGCAACCTCTCGCAGGTCTTGAAGGACCTGTAAAAGAGAAAGTTGATTAGTTCGAAAGAACGAGCGACGGACAAGTCCCGATGTCTCGTGAAAGGGGGAAGCTTTACAAGCAATTCAGCGAGCACCTTGTGTGCACAAGAGAAAAGAGAGAGAGGGGGAAAACAAGGACTTTAGAGGGTTGAACGAACAACTGCAAGTCCACAAACAGCTGCTCACCGGGTGCCAGGCGTGACAACAAGTTCCCGTCAAGATAACGTGCGAACTTGCGAAAGGTTGTTCAACGCCCGATACTATACCGAAGCCCCATCCAGCCCGGTGCCACCTGGGGGGTTCCAAGGGGCTGAGATGGCTGACGTTTTGGTGAGCGGAAGCGGACTGTTGAAAACAGCCCGTGGCACACGAAAACGGAACTGTTTTGGGCTGTTTTGGGGCTGTTTTGCTCGGTTCAGTGAGCGGTCGCTTTGTAGCGCTGCAACTTGTTCGAACTTACATTTTTACAAGCAAAATGACTCAAAACCAAGACAAAACATGCTGCCAAGCAGCTGTACATGTAGATGCGAGCGACGAACGGTTCGTTGAATGGAGTTGTTGCGGGTGCGCGACAACCGTTCGTGACATTCTCCCCCACTTAAACTGTCGACACCCTCGTCAACGCTTGTTGGTAGTTGTTGATGATTGCTTCTTCATGTTGTAGGGCGTCTTCGGGCTCCCAACTGGCTTCAGTTCGGGAAGCTTTCGCCACTTCACCAAGTACTCTATCTGCTCAGCTCCATTGGGTAGCTTTATCTTGCGGTCCGCCAGAATGGTTTCAACTCGTTTCTCATAGGAGGCTGTGATGGGGGGTAGCCGAGTTGGAACACTTCGGGAAGCATCTTGCGGATCCGAGTGGTAGGCTTTTAGGTTGCTGGCGTGAAGAACGTCATGAATTTTGAACCACGCCGGCAACTGCAACTTATAGGAGACGTTGCCTACCCTACTGATAATTGGGAAGGGCCCTTTATACTTGTGCACCAATCCTTTGTGGACTTTGTTCCTAAAGAATTGGAATGATGCTGGTTGGAGCTTTACCAACACCAAATCGCCAACCTTGAACTCTTGTGGTCGCCTTCCCAAGTCTGCCCACTTCTTCATCCTTTTTGTCGCCTTCTCCAAGTAAGCCCGCGCAATATCTGCATTTCGGTGCCACTCCTTTGCGAAGTGGTAGGCTGACGGACTACTTCCGATATACCCGATTGCCATGGTGTGAGGAGTTGACAGTTGTTGTCCTGTAATGATCTCGAAGGGGCTCTTGTTGGAAGCAGAGCTCCGCTGTAAGTTGTAGGAGAATTGGGCAATGTCCAACAACTTCACCCAATCTCGTTGGTTGGCACTCACGTGGTGCCGAAGATATTGCTCCAAGAGCGAGTTTATCCTTTCAGTTTGGCCATCCGTCTGGGGGTGGAGGCTTGTGGAGAAGTATAACTTTGACCCCAACAATTTGAATAGCTCGGTTCAGAATCGTCCCAGGAACCGAGCGTCTCGATCACTAATGATATTGTGCGGGACTCCCCAATACTTCATCACATCCTTAATCATCAGCTTGGCCGCCTCCTCTGCTGAACAGTGTAGGGGAGCAGCAATGAAAGTTGCATACTTTGAAAACCGATCGATCACCACGAGCATCGATCCGAGTCTCCCTACAAGTGGCAAACTTGATATGAAGTCCAAGGAAATGCTCTCCCACGGCCTTTCTAGTACGGGCAACGACTCCAAAAGTCCCACCGACTTCAAAAGTCCCACCGACTTCCGTTGCTCCGCCTTGTCTTGTTGGCAAGTGAGGCATGTTCGAACATATTCCTCCACATCAGTCCCCATCTTCGGCCAGTAGAAGGCCCTCTTCACGAGAGCCAACGTTCTGTGAATGCCTGGGTGTCCAGCCCAAAGGAATCGTGACACTCTCTTAAGAGTTCATGCCTCAAATTGTCCACTCGGGGAATACAAACCCTATTCCCTTTTGTGTAAACGAGTCCCTCCTAGACCCAAAATCATCGTGTCTTGCCTTCTTTGATGAGCTGCATCAGGATAACTGCCTAGGGGTCACTATACAGTCCATTCCTGATCCTGGAAAGGAAGTTGGAGTGCAACTGACTTGCTTGGCCTCCGCCCTCCAATTGTACGACATTCACGCGCTCCACTTTCCGACTCAATACATCGGCCACGACATTTGCCTTTCCAGGCTTGTACTCCATTGCCATATCAAATTCAGCCAGGAAGTCCTGCCATCGAGCTTGCTTTGGGGAAAGTTTATTCTGTGTTTGGAAATAGCTCAGAGCGATGTTGTTTGTCCTCAGCACAAATCGTGATCCGAGAAGGTAGTGTCGCCAAACTCGTAGACAATGGATCACCGCTGTCATCTCCTTCTCGTGTACTGGATACCGCCGCTCGGTCTCGTAGGCCACCGGATAACCCTCTTGCATGAGTACTCCCCCAATAGCAAAGTCTGAAGCATCTGCATGGACTTCAAAAGGCTCTTCATAGTCCGACAGTTTGAGCATCGGTTCTTCCAGAACAGCAGCCTTCATATCTTGGAATGCCATTTCACATTTGTCAAACCACTTTCAAGGCTGCTCCTTCAGCAACTCCGTCAGTGGAGTTGCACGCTTCGAGTACCCCACTATGAAGCGTCGATAGTAGTTGACGAAACCAAGGAAGGATCTCAACTTTGGCACCTTCTTTGGAGTTCGCTTTTCCGCAACCGCTTGCACTTTTGATTTGTCCATCCGAATGGAGCCATCATCGATTCGATGCCCTAAGAATAAGATCTCCGTTTGGGCAAAGTAGCATTTTTCCCTTTTCACGAACAAAGTGTTCTCCCTGAGAACCTTGAAAATTGTCCGAAGGTGCTGGACATGCTCCTCGAGCGTTTAATTGTAGACGACGATATCGTCTAAGTAGACGACCACGAACTTATCCAAATACTCCATGAATAGCTGGTTCATGAGAGTGCAGAACGTGGCCGGAGCGTTGGTTAAGCCGAAAAACATCACCAAGAACTCCAACACTCCATACCTGGTCACACAGGTAGTCTTCGCTTCGTCGCCTTCAGCAATGCGCACCTGCCAATACCCCGACCGAAGGTCGAGTTTTGAGAAATACTTGGCTTTGCCTAACTGGTCGAATAAGTCCGCGATGAGCGAGATGGGATACTTGTTCTTCACCGTCACTTTGTTGAGGGCTCGGTAATCGACGCATAGTCGGAGGCTCCCATCTTGTTTCTTCTGAAAGAGAACTGGAGCTCCGAATGATGCTTTAGAGCTGCGGATGAGACCACCGCTTAGCAGTTCACCTAACTGCTTTCTGAGTTCTGCCAACTCTGGCGGGGGCATACGGTAGGGTGGTCTCGCTGGAGGCTTCACTCCTGGCTCCAGCTCGATGTTGTGATCCACGCCTCTGCGTGGTCGAAGAGTCTTCGGCAACTCGGGTGGCATAACGTCATTGAACTCTTTCAGGACGTTCGTCACCACAGCAGGTTCTTGAATGACCTTCTCGTCGAGTGGCAA